CCTCGCATTTATCGCCGCCAAACTAGGACTTGGTATTCCGCTAAAAGACATCAAGAACACAGTCACAAAGGTAACCTGTGCCTGTTTCGAGCCTTCTCTGGATTATGTTGTTGTCAAGATGCCCCGGTGGGACTTGAAGAAGTTCACTAGGGTGTCTACCCAACTCGGTTCGTCGATGAAGAGCGTCGGCGAGGTTATGAGTATCGGAAGAACTTTTGAGGAAGCTATCCAGAAGGCAATTCGAGCTATTGACTTCCACAATCTTGGCTTTGGCGAAACCAAGGCACTCATGTCGATTGACGACGAGCTCCAAACTCCATCCGACCAGCGTCTCTTCGCTATCGCAAATGCTATGCACGCTGGATATTCGGTGGATAGAATATGGGAGCTCACCAAGATTGATAAATGGTTCTTACACAAACTAATGGGCCTAAGCCAATTCAGCAAGGAAATGGCCACATATACCACCGGCCAAGTCTCCCAGCGCCCAGACTTACTTCTTCAAGGCAAACGACTTGGATTTAGCGATCGCCAACTAGCGAAGTTCTGGGACTCCAATGAGCTTGCAGTGAGACGTATGAGGCTAGAATTCGGCATAACACCTTTTGTCAAGCAGATCGACACTGTCGCTGCCGAGTTTCCCGCCTATACTAATTACCTCTATCTCACATACAATGCTTCAACACACGACATTGATTTCAATGATCATGGTGTAATGGTACTCGGATCAGGCGTCTACCGCATTGGTTCTTCCGTCGAGTTCGATTGGTGTTCAGTCAGAGCGATCCGCACACTTCGGGAATCTGGTTTCAAGACCGTCATGGTCAATTATAATCCCGAGACTGTCAGTACTGATTATGACGAGGCTGATCGTTTGTACTTCGAGAACATCAACTTGGAAACTATTCTTGATATCTATCAGATGGAATCCGCCAGCGGAGTTCTCGGTGCCATGGGTGGTCAAACCCCCAACAACATCGCATTGCCCCTGCTACGTTCAGGTGTCAAAGTCTTGGGAACGTCGCCGGAGATGATTGACAGGGCTGAGAATCGGTACAAATTCTCACGTATGCTGGATGAAATCGCTGTCGACCAGCCAACCTGGAAAGAGCTTACAAGCTTCGAGGATGCTAGAAGTTTCTGCCGAAAGGTTGAGTACCCGGTGCTCGTTCGACCTTCGTACGTCTTATCGGGTGCTGCGATGAACACTGTATACTCCGAGGCAGATCTCGAATTGTACCTGCAACAGGCTGCAGAGGTTTCGCGTGAGCACCCTGTGGTAATTACAAAGTACATTGAGAATGCCAAGGAGATTGAGATGGATGCAGTTGCGAAGGACGGAACTGTCGTGGGTCACTTTATATCCGAACACGTCGAAAACGCCGGTGTCCATTCTGGTGATGCGACTCTTATCCTGCCGCCGCAGGATCTTGAGCCGACCACAATTCAACGCATCGTAGAGGCTACCCGGAAGATCGGCGCTAAACTTAACGTTACTGGCCCATTCAATATCCAATTCATTGCAAAGGATAATGACATCAAGGTTATTGAGTGCAACGTCCGAGCCTCGCGTTCATTCCCCTTCGTGTCGAAGGTCATGGGAGTTGACCTGATTGAGATGGCAACCAAAGCAATCATGGGAGTTCCGTTCACTGAATACCCGCCAACGACTCTTCAGCCGGATTGCGTTGGTGTGAAGGTTCCGCAATTCAGCTTCTCGAGACTGTCTGGTGCCGATCCGGTCTTGGGCGTAGAGATGGCTTCCACCGGAGAGGTTGCTTGCTTCGGCATGGATAAATACGAAGCATACCTTAAGGCGTTGATGTCAACCGGATTTAAGATTCCGAAGAGCAATATCCTTTTGTCAATTGGCTCTTACAAGGATAAGAAGGAGATGCTTCCATCGGTCCAGAAATTGCAGAAGATGGGATATAAATTATTTGCTACCGCAGGTACTGCGGACTTCCTTCAGGAACACGGTATTCCTGTTCAGTTCTTGGAGGTCCTCAGCAATGAGGAAGACGACCAGAGATCCGAATTCTCACTGACGCAGCATCTGGCAAAGAACATGATTAACCTCTACATAAATCTTCCGTCGAACAACAAGTACCGCCGCCCTGCCAATTATATGAGTAAAGGATATCAAACCCGACGAATGGCTGTGGATTACCAGATCCCGCTGGTAACGAACGTGAAGAATGCTAAGATCCTAATCGAGGCCATTGCAAGGCATTTCGAATTAGAAGTTAGCAACCGCGATTACCAGACGAGCCATCGCACGATAGTCCTTCCAGGTTTGATCAATATCGCTGCTTTCGTACCTGGAATTGGTGCTCAGGGCAGCCATGATTTACAGGCTGTTACAAAAGCTTCGATCGCCTCAGGCTTCAGCATGATACGGGTTATACCTATGGGCATCGAAGGCTCCATCACCGATGCAAGGACGCTGAAGATTGCTCAGCAGAGTAACAAAGAAGGAGGCTATTGCGATTACAACTTTTCCGTGTCGGCCACATCTAGTAACGCCGACCAGATTAGCCAAGTAACCAGCGAGGTCGGATCGCTCTTCATCCCCTTTAACCATTTGTCAGATAATATTAGCAAGGTCGCCGCGGTTACTGCACATTTCGACTCTTGGCCTATCCATAAGCCTATCCTGACTGATGCTAAGACTACGGACCTCGCCTCTATTCTATTACTCGCGAGCCTTCACAATAGGCGCATCCATGTCACTAGTGTCACGACTAAGGAAGACATCCGGCTGATTGCTCTTAGCAAGGAGAAAGGCCTGAGTGTTACTTGCGACGTGTCGATTTATTCGTTGTACCTATCACAAAAGGATTTCCCAGAATGCCAGTATCTTCCCCAACCCGCCGATCAGCAGGCGCTCTGGGATCACCTTAGCACGATTGATGTCTTCTCTATCGGCAGTCTCCCGTATCAGCTTGCGCATTCTATGCAATTCAATACAGACCCTACAGTTGGTATTGCTGATGCCTTGCCTCTTCTGCTGACGTCTGTCGCGGAAGGCAAGTTAACGTTGGATGATGTCAAGACACGGCTCTACGATAATCCAAAGGAGATCTTTGAGCTCCATGAGCAGGTCGGAACCTCAGTTGAAATTGAGATTGACCGCCCGTACACTATACCGGAGACAGCGTCGTGGTCGCCATTCGCTGGTAAGACCATGCGTGGCGCGGTGCAAAGGGTTACTTTCAACAACAAGACGGTCTGCCTTGATGGAGAACTTCTTCCTCTGGCGCCTCTCGGGAAGGATATGTCCACTCATGGCAGTATGCCCGCACCTATGTCGCCGCCTATGTCTCACCAAGCACATCCCTTCGATGCTCTCCGGACTCGACGGTTCTCTAACATTGGAAAACCATTGGGCATGTCGCGATTGACTGACGGCGAGGTAGACGACCAGCGGCCAGCTTCAAGGAATGTGCCAGCCACAGAAGAGTTCAGTTTGCCGGGACCCGCACGAGCACCGTTCGTTGATTCCCTACATGACCTCCTTATGCAACCCTCCGCTTTCAAAAACTCGCATGTGCTCTCCGTGAAGCAATACACGCGATCCGATCTTCATCTGCTGTTTACTGTGGCTCAGGAGATGCGCCTCGGCGTTGACCGAGAAGGTGTCCTTAATATTCTACGCGGCCGGGTTCTATGCACCATGTTCTATGAGCCGTCCACACGTACCTCGGCATCTTTCGACGCAGCTATGCAACGACTGGGTGGCAGGACGATCCCTATCACCACAACGCATTCGTCGGTTCAGAAAGGAGAGACGCTTCAGGATACGCTCAGGACGCTTGAATGCTACGGTGATGCTATCGTTCTACGCCATCCGGATGAAACGTCGGTGGATATTGCGAAGAAGTACAGTAAGGTCCCTATCATCAACGGTGGAAATGGGAGCAAAGAACATCCAACACAAGCCTTCCTTGACCTCTTCACGATCCGTGAAGAGCTTGGTACCGTACAAGGATTGATTATTACCTTCGTGGGTGATCTCCTCTACGGACGACCGGTGCATTCGTTGGTATATCTACTGCGGCACTACCAGGTCCAAGTTCAGTTGGTTTCACCTAAGTCGCTAGCGCTGCCGGCGGAAGTTCGCAGCCTCCTAAAGGAATCTGGACAGCTACTTTGCGAATCCGAGGAGCTTACCCCAGAGATCCTGTCAAGGAGTGACGTACTGTACTGTACTAGGGTGCAAAAGGAACGCTTCCCAAGCGTCGAGGAGTACGAGAAGGTCAAGAATTCGTACCGCATCGATAACGCGACCCTTAAGCATGCGAAACAGACCACCCGCGTGCTGCATCCCCTGCCGAGGAACGAAGAAGTGGCAGAGGAAGTTGACTATGACCACCGTGCGGCCTATTTCAGACAGGTAAGTGTTTGAACGAGTTCCTACGCTGTATGAATATTTACTAATACGTCTCTAGATGAGGTACGGTCTCTACTGCCGAATGGCCCTGCTAGCTTTGGTCATGTCCAGTTGAGAACGGTATATTTTCCGCGTACCGGCCGCCTTTGCATCCGTAGTCAATGTTTTACGGATTATACACCGACGAACCGTAGGGTTACACGTCTAGGAGCTCGAAAAGTTAGATAGCTACTTCGTAACGATCCTTCGTAAAGGATTGATAAGTTTTACTCGACGTATAGATAGGAACACTTTTTTAGACACTATTTAGGCTCACGCCGCTCATGAGTGCATGATTAACGTACAAAGGCATTAGCATGGCGTATGTGTAGGTATGCTTTGTATATGTTTACGAAGCTTGTTTTGGATGTATGTATTTATGTATGTATATTTTGTACTAGTTATATTTTTGTATATATTGTATGTATGTGCGTATTTACGTATGTACGTTGTGTATATAGTTAGTTAATTCTAATTTTCGTCATGCGTGTGTTCGTCTCGTTTTGATGTGTCAAACTCTTCGAGTCTAGTTCGTCTTCTTTTATAGAATAGACTAAATCTAATTGTAGTCTAGTACTAGTTACATGTATATTTGGTGTCTTTAGTAACAAGTAATTACGTCATCATGGAATTTATATACTTAATTCTCTTCTCCAAACTTGAATTTAACCCCTCTAGTAGACACAAACGCGCCAATAGCAATGTTCAATCGCCATCGGGCTATCTCTAGCAGGCTGACGAAGTTCTAGTACCTATATATACAATGTTTTAACTACATTGAAGGTAAAGTTAGATATTGAATGTAATCACCACCTGCACGCTTAATTTATTCGGCTGATGAACCGATTCGCCTACCGCCCAATCGTCTCATCACCGCGGCTCGTACGACTTACAGATCGCTTGGCTTGCGAATTACTACCCACTTACCGCGCAATGGCAACGGCGTCATCATCCCCTCTAGGCCCGGCGCCCTGGAGACAACTCTTCCTGGAACATGTCCAGACGATGGCATCGCCGGAATTCACCCTCAGCACAATCCGGAAGACCTCTTCCCCGTCTTCTGGCACGGTCTACTACTCGCCGCGCGCTCGCACGTGCGTCTTCCGCGGCTTGTTTGCGGGGTTGCCGGCGAATCCGAAGAACGAGGCGGAGCTGAACCCGGACGTCTACGAGACGGACTTCCCGACGTTCACGACGGACTGCCGGATGGATAAGATGGCGGAGCTCTTCGGGACAGAGGAGACTGGCGAGAAGCTCCGGGGCTCGGGGGGCGGCGCGCCCGTCGAGGCTGTCTTCTGGGCTAGGGAGACGGGCACGCAGTGGCGCGTCCGCGGGAAGGCGTACGTTCTCGCTCCGGACGTCGAGGACTCGGAGGAGGGGAAGCGTGTTATATCTACGCTGACGGCGCGGATGCGGCGCAAGGACGCGAGCCAGGGGGGCTGGAGTTTCGCTCGGGAAGTCACGGCGCACTTCGGCAATATGGCTCCGCTGATGAGAGGGTCGTTTCGGAGCCCGCCTCCCGGCGCGCCGGTGGCGCTGCCGGTGGACGACGATCGGCTCAAGTTGGGACAGAAGGTGACGGATCTGGAGGACGAGGTCGCCCGGGCGAATTTCAGAGTCGTGGTTATCGTGCCGGAAGGGGTCGACCGCACGGATCTGAGCGATCCGGAGCGCGGCCGTAGATGGTTGTATACATTTGTTGGGGACAAGTCGGAGCCTACGGCGCCGGGCGGGGTGGTGCAGGATGGGTGGGAGGAGGTTGAGGTTTGGCCTTAGCCGGCGCGGGAGGGAAGAAACTAACTAGGTAACTAAGTCCGCGACGGCTACGTAGAAGAAGAAGCCCTCGGTGGTTTTGGTTTGGGGGGCCCTAATGTGGAATATCTACATATCTGATTACCTTGTTGGTGGTGAGGAAGGGTTGTGGTCCCTACGTACAGCATAGTGGTGTATACATACACTATGCATAGCTCTATCTTACCGAGGTGCTACTATTTACTACCCCTTACCTACGGGCATTATCGTATGCACACCTACGTATGTACATACATGTGTGTGTAGGAGTCTTGGCATGGTCAGATCTATCACAGTCCTGCAAGTTTCGGACATGTGATGTGATACACTACGTAGAAGGAAGTTCTTCCTCCCGGGCCGAGCTCATGGCAATCAGTCTTGATCTATAGGTAGTTATGGGTATATCCGCGAACGGGATGCCGTGTGCTAAAGTAAACCTTGCACTCCGGCGACCATGACTTCTTTTGCTCTTCGGGATACTACGTAATGTAGGACTGGGTGCGGAACATAAGGTACATACATACATGTAACATATGTAGATCATCCCATATTTAGCCTTACGATCTTGTGACCTCGTGGTGCGAGGCTGGGCAGGGGTAAAACGGTGATTTTTTAAATTGCTCTCTGGCCGAGCTGTCACATTATTTTTTTATTTTGCTCTCTCCCTTGCTGTTAAGATTTGGGTACGTAGTGAGTAAGTGAAATGAATTGCACCATGCCCGGTGGGCACACGTAGAATGCCATTGTACTGTTGCTTTGCAGGATACTATGTAAGTCTGATACCGAGTTGAGAATCTGGGGGAAGGATCGTCTAGTGCTTATGGTTTGATACCTAGTATATACAGATATTAGATATTTCGGTTCATTGATTTGACCCAAGTACGAATTACTATCAGAGACACATAATTGTGGATATATACCTAGGTATTTTTCGATTCTTCTACTACCTACAGAATAACTATATATAGTGTTAAGGGATGTGATGTCTCGGTACGGGAGTTTTAACCCTTGAATGCCAGGCTTCGGATCTAACACAGCATCTACATACGGATGTTTTAGCGTAGAAATTCGAAGAGTGGGGGTATAGAAGAATAAAAATGCTTCCATTTGGAAGGTTTTAGGCGTTCCGTCTCAAGCATGGGGGGCAACCATCGCGACTTTCCCACGTGTTAAGAGCCGGGGTCCGTCCCGAATGGGAAGACGGGAGGGCGGGGCGGAAAGAAAAGAAGAAGAAGAAGGGGGCTGGGTTCAAGTCAATTTACATTACTATGTATTTTGACCGCTACAAATCGAGTCTTTTCGAGTCTTGGCGATACATACAACTACCTATGTATTCCGTACATATTATTATGAGGCTGGGGCCCAGAATAGCATGGACCAGTATCCGGTATTTACATACATGTTCAAGTAATTATCCGAACATCTTCTACATAACACTGGCTTTTATCGCCTTGTTTTGCTTCCGGATGCGGAATGTGCATAGCCGACTGCAACCCCTTGGCCCCCCACCACGAGCCGGCCGGCAGGCAAAAAGCATCGTGATTTAGTGTAGGTTCGGGGAATGCTTTTTTTTCTTTTCATAGAACGGGCTTTGCTTTTTGAATTCTTATGGATCTTTTATGTTGCGTTTTGTTAAATTATCAAAGTTTGTCCCAAGTAATGTCAATCAGTACCGCGTTTCAATGATCATATATCTCTTTCCTCTTCATAAATCTCTTATGAGACGAATCGTATTGTCATATGATCATGTATTGTTATGTGTTTACATACGAAGTAGTGAGCTTTAAATTTCCGAGCGGGGTTTGGCGCGAAGAAGCGAAGAGAAAAACCAAAGTAATCCATACGTATGCACTTTATATGTTAGTAGGTATGTATATGTATTGCTAGGTCATGTTTCAGGCATAAGCCAATCCGATATGAATGTGAATACGGATTATGTATGGCACGAATTCAATCGGTAGGATGGACTGTGCATATGTATTCACCGCTTAATTCATGTATAACTAGTGTATGCAAAGACAACTATGCATGGCTCCCCAACCATATGGGGCAATTACATCGGCATTATAATTTATATTATACGACGACGAGTACTCAGGTGATGTAAGAGGCTGTATGTACGTATGTTAGGTGTGCATGCAAATATCGCAAGTACATAAGGCTAGATACCAAGGTATGAATAAGTCTAATAGTGTAGGTGATATTCAGTATCATACTATAGTAGAGCAGATATCACATTATCAGCTCTTAATTCTATCCTACCCCAAAAATACCGAGGCAAATAAGCAAATAACCGATCATATACCTAAGTAAGTGTAAGTGATACATACAATATGTCTCGTTGATCTATGAAAGCATACCATATTCTCGATGCAAGCCAACTCATTGTTATATCCTGTTTAGGCACTGTATCTCCGGTCACCCTACATGTGCAGTACTACAACACAAGGCTATTCCTGTCTTCTCTTACGCTCGTCGCTCATACCACATTACGCCCCCAGCGTCTACTACATAGTACAATACATACATACCTCTTAGGGTCCAACCGCTAAAGACGGTCCCGCGTGTGCAGTGACATGCATCGTGTTAGCTAGCGCAAAACTTTGCGACCTGTCATACTTCGTAGACCCCATAGGAGTAACTCGATCGTGACCGGTGCCGAGTTGCTGCCAATCGCCAAATGTCAACTGCAACTTGTTGATCTAAAGGCAGATGCGGCCGGCTTATCCTTGGGCTTCGAACCCCCCGTTTGGCAGTGGCGTATTCCGATGGGGTCCGAAAGGTCTCTGTCTCTGTCCAAGTCTTGTCCGTAAGACTTTTTTTGTATGGGGGTTTTCTTGTCTTCTCCACTATGGTCTCATATCTCCTGCCTCTCATCTGTAAAGAAGACCGTGCTGCATGTGGCACGTACGCATTAGGTATTGTAGTGGTATGCCCCCAAAGCTGCTAACGACCTTACGAGCTTTATATGTATTATATAGTAACGGGTGAGTAACGGGTGAGAAGGTAGAGATTGGCTAGCTCAAGTTACATATATAGAAACGTCTCTTCCGATCTATTTCTTAGAATGGAAACACATCTTTGAGGAATACATAGATAAGTTTGTTCACATTGCTCAGATAGGTCAATCGCTATGTAAGGCCACGTTGATACCCTCCTTCAACTTGGCAGCTTGGCTACTGTAAAGCGTAAACCACACCGGCCATGTGGACGCTCCCTTTTCTGACCGACGGCCGAAAGAGTGGCAAAATGCAATAGTTAGCTGTTAGTTACAGCTTTTGCTTCCTTCGCGGATTTCGTGTAGGTAACTCGAGCGTGAGCATCTTATCTTCCCCCAGCCGCCCAGCCGCTCCCATAGGAATTACTACCACGGGCAGGAGAGAATGTCCAAAATGAGAGAACGGTCCATTATTCGAGAGAGGGCCAAAGTCGCTTTTTAATAAACTAGAACGGCAGCCCGTTAATTAGTCGCCGATCAACCCGTTAAAAGAGAAGAACTTACAGACGGGGCGCCAGTGGACAAGGGTTCCTTACCGCTAGGTGCCCTGGCCGTGCGTCTACTAGCTCTGGTTTGATGTACCTTGTAAGGTAGCTAGATGTACCTACGTAGGTACATTACATTATCAGTTCGCCGTGGAGTCCCGATCAAGTACGTATGTATTGTACCTAATACAATACTTAAACTCTAGCCTAACAATTATGTAGGTAGTCCCCTGCTTCCTTGGGCACTTAACAGGCCGCGGCTGGCAAAGCTACCTACACACTGCATCTACTATGTACCTCGTACCAAAAGCAAACGTACATTACCTTGTACAATACATACACGATGGATCCCAGGAAGCAAGCCTAGAAATAATCGTACCGTAGCTGCTTTTAAACCAACCAGCATATGTATCTCGATACCCCACAGAACTGCCAATTCTCATACACTAACACTAATCTTCCTCCGATATCAACTCTGTTTCCACTCGATCCGATTCCTTCCTTTTTCTCCCCGCCATATCCGCCTGAATTAACCATCCCTTCTCTTGATTCGAAGAGCAATTGATCAAGTTTTTGTGACGTTTATATTGCATCGACTAAACAATATTCTAATTGGTTAATATTCGAGAGACGAGACGTCGAATTGGCCTGCTCAGGTCCAAATTGTAGCATTGCAACATTTCAGCATTGCACCATTGCAGCGTCGAGTTCGTTAGGTAGCTCAGGTCACAGGTGCCCATCGTGCATGGGCTTGGCTAGATGTCATGACCAGTGGCATATCAACTTAACAACCGCCTAGCCTCCCTTTTACCTACCCTGTTCACCTCTTCACCGACTCCTCTACCTCCCAAGCAGGAGTCTGATGTCAGGGTACAGTCACATATCCTGCTTCTTAGCTTCAATCTCCAACTAGATACAACATATTTACATTGCATCTCTATCCAGAATGGCGACAGATTCCTTGAAAGCCCTAATTACTAACATTCCCGACTGGCTTAAACGCCTCGAGGAGCTCAATGGACAAATCGATCAGCGCCAGCAGGATCTGGCTATGCTGCCTGAGAACCAACCCAAGTCCTCAGCTCGATCTATTAGGAATAAGGGGTCGACAGAATCTCTAAGACCGAAGGATGAAGGCGCGTCCGGCCAAATATTAGACACGATACGCGTCTCGACGCCACCTCCCCTAGCCCCGAATGAAACTCGACAGCCAAATGGCGGTGCTGAAGTACCAACGAGTCCCGTGAGTGAACCACGATCGAACACATCCCTTCAACGTCAGACCAACGAGGTTATGGCAACGGCACAGCGACGAGCGCGCGCCGTTGTTCGGAAGAAGCCGAAGACCGAATCTATGATGAGCAGCGAGAACGCCGTCCAAAATTACAGGTCACGGAATATGATCATCGTATACTACGACAGCTACGTACAGTCATTCTTTGAGGAGCTAGTCAAGTTCGTGTCGATGCAGCGCAATGCCATGCGTAAAGCCAAGATGGCTGCCAAGGTGGCCCGCATCAGGCGTTTAGCCGAGATTGAGATGCCCGATGATGACGAGGAGGAGGACAGACCGGGTAGTGGGAATGGTGAACTAAAGCCCAGGGATAATATCATGGCCGTCGCCGCCGACGCCACAGCCGCAGAAGCTAAGGAAGAGTCGGCGGAAGATATTAAGCTCCGCTTCAAAAGTACTCGACAGATGGGACCACGAAACGTAGTTGCTGGTAGGGTGAGTGCGCGGGTGACCCGATCAGGTCTTAATGGCGGACTAGGCGCATTCCAGGACAGGGGCGATGTCTGGGAGGAGCTGGACAAAGGCCTAGAGTTCGTCCAGGGCATGTGTGAACAAGGAGCGCATCAATTCCTTCGAGACGGTGACTGCGCCGAAGAGATCGAGAAGATTAAAGCGCGCCTTGCGTTGACGAAGGAGGCTGCCGACAAGGAACTAGCACGTTCTGAAACGGAAAACACTCCCGAGCCAGCCTCGCCCTGGCCCACGCAGTCCCGGAGCTATCGCCCCACGACGATGCGGAAGAGTATGGGCACGCCGGCAGTAAAGACGCCTCCTAAGCAAGAGTTTGTCAAGCAGAATGTTATTGAAGTGGAGGACGAAGGGGTGCAGGATATGGACGACTACGAGCCGATCTCTAAACCAACGGGGCAAATAGATGGACCCACGTCTTAGAATGACGAGGTCCCTTTGCTTTGTTATGCGTCATGCGCATGAAGCAGTCTCCCTGCTGCTATTACCTACCACCGTCGTTTACGTATATACAAACCACATCTCAGCCAATCAAAATTGTTTGCTCGGATGCAGCATCGCGACGGAATTGGCTTACAGAGAATGACGGCTTTATTGGATGCTATTGCGACAGGACTATATATACTTCCCCCCTAAATTATGAGATGTCATGTTGAAAATTACCTATATATAGTTTTCTATTTACTCACGCGGGGTGCGGACAGATAAAAGCATGCACATATTTTGAGTTTTGTCATGTGCTTGGAGTTGGATATAGGGGAAAGTTTTGATATTTATCATCAACAGCCCAGACGGGGTTTGAATACATTTGGGATCACTCTACTATGGTGCCTACCTGCGCCTATCACGACTTTACGGGACTCACGGCCGCGAACAAAATATGTGCTCACAAGGCTATATCAATGCGCCCTCTTTCAGCTTCATCCGGAGAGGGCCGGGTCAAATAATGCCGGATATATACGGCCACTCTTTTATAATGAGCAGCTGGGGGGGTTTTCGGAGAATAAAGGTGACGCGGCAATTAATGCTATTGCAGAGGGGCTGAAAATCCTTGGTACATAAGAGACTTCGAGAAGCCTAATAATATATATCTAACTACCTGGTTAAACTGTACTCTGCATGGTTGTGATGTTTATGGTGATGAATAAGTTACTGTATTCGCATTGAGTTGTCTAGATTCTATCGATCGACGTTTCACGTTTCGTCGGTGATCTGCGGATACCTAGAACATAGGTAATTATCAAAGCTTGGACCACGAGCCGTCATAATTAAAATAAAGGGACGACGGGAAGGGCCGTTGGTGGCAAGTTGAGGGTGCGGCCGCATCACTATGCGGGCACCGTGGTAATTGGACGAAGGGATGGGGATGGGGGATGAAATTTTGCATAATTAGGTTAGGTAAGTAATGTTAATACGAGGAGGATAAGAAGTAAATACCTAGGTACCTACCTACCTACCTATCCTAACATGGTGAGGACTTTGCGGACTTTGCTCCGCTCAGCTCAGCTCAGCTCAGCTCATGCAGAAAAGAAAAAGAAAAGAAAGGACAGGAAATTTCCGTGTCACATATGTCAGGTACCTAAGACACAATATCGCTATCGCTTTTCGATTTCGATTCGCGATGCCGATTCGGCCCGTCTGGACGTTGGCCGATATTCGGTTGTGTCCATATGTAAGGGGGACCTCGGAGTACGCGGAGTTCAGCGCTCAGGAGATTGGGGGGTTGGTGCGCTGCGCCGCGCCGCGTTGTGGAAAACCCACATCACATGTGCGCACTCACGGTCATCTCCTTTTTTATTTTATTTTATTTTTTTCCCGCCTCACTATATATGAGTATGAGGTATGTAATAGTATAGTGATGTAAATGTAGATGTAGATGGCCCGTACGTAGGTTATGTTGTATTATAGGTCTTGTAGTGCACATATATATTAGGGAGGTTGTGCTCGAGCCAGCAGCAGCTTGGGTCAAAATTATGGAATAGGTATCGCTGTACGTATGTATTGGTTCGGTGTGGTTCGGTGTGGTTCGGTGTGGTTCGGTTCGGTAGCTGATGGCTTCCGCTCTTCCTGGAGGTCGATATCCGCTTGTCCGAACCGAAAAAATATATACATATAGACGTAGAGTCGGGTTCTGCAGACATCGGCGAGCTTGCCCTTTATGAATAGGTACCGACCGGTTAAGTTGGCCGTCCCGAGATCTGAGATGTTTATGTGTTTATGCGAGTTCGCGAGGCGCGACTACATACATACATAGGTGTGGTTGGTGATGGGGACCGGTCCGTGCGGCAGATGCCATTCATTGATGGAATCGGTCCCGTCGATGTGATTGATGGGCAACATGCGAGATTCGTATAACTACCGGATGTCGTGCTGTTGGTTTGGACTTTAATTATCTACCGACAGCTTCGATGCTGCGGTTGGTTAGGGAGGTCCGGGCAATGTTCCCCGTGACGGGGGCTCGACGCGTACTATGTACACTAGCTCGGTGGTCTAGTTTATTGCTAGACGGTTAGGGGTTAGACGGGCTGCTACGTGATTATGTGAGTGAGTGTTTCTATTGCTCTTCGCGTTGTGTATTACGCATGTTGGTGTTGATTGGGTAGGTTTGATGTGTATATGGGCACGTAACAGAGGGGTTAGGATTGTGACGACTTATACGTTAGGTACCTACGTAACCGAGTAGATCAGGGGAACTGATGTTGGAGCTCCATTGTTATCACCATTGCCCAATCTTTGAGTTAAGCTCTTTATTCATTCTCTACATAGGCATCCTTGAAATGAACCTGTGGCATTAGCTGTCAAGAACCCCCTTTCCCGAGAGAGATATCCAATGTAGTTGTAGGTAAACCCAAAGCGATATTCTAATTATTTCAACAAGACACTCGGTATATATAAACTGATAATTAGAAATATTGGATTACATGATTCTAAAGTAAGTTACTGGTTGACTTAGATTAGTTAACCCCCCGAAAGTCTTTCATTATATCTCATACCTCAAGCCAATTCCTTTAGGCTCTTTTCAACCTCGTAAGTTAGGGTTACTGATACATCTATCCTACTCAAACAAGAGGCTTTCTTAGCTTAAGATGAATAGTCCTATCTTATACTCAGTATAGCATGTATATACTAGAGAATTCAGGATCTTGCCCGCTCTATACCGCCAGACCGACTAGCAATGTGTTGCAGGGAACAAAGTCATCTGGCCCGCATGGAATAACTTGTCAAGAGCCTCTAAGCAGTTCTCGGTATGGTAAATATTAACCAACGAATAATTATCCGGCCATGCACAAGAAGGTGTCACCAACAAGCTCAGCACGCAGCCCTTATTGAGAACTAGCCCGTCCCCGGCGGCAGCCTATCTTATTATCATTGGTAGGAAGTAGTCTTAGGTAGGAAGTCAATATTAATCCACATAAGTTAGGATCGTGCGCTAAATCGTTGAATGACGCCTAAGTAGTGTAGATGTAGTCATATCTGCTGTGCATTACTGTTGGTTTAAAAACTATGTGGACTAACCTACGTATGATATAGCCGTTGGGTAGATTCCAACCAACTCCCTCTGTCAGCACCAGCCGACACCTGAGTTGAATCATGTTCTACAAGATTTATCTATTCGACTCGTCTTTTGCTATATTACTTGACTCATTTACAAGGGCAGTGATATCACCATGCCCAAGGCGGATAGCAAATCCTAGAGGCCTATCGGATACCCCTTTATGAGTTTGAGGGCTCGTACCGATTAAGTTGGATAAATGACGACCAACGAATCCTTAGTGCCGTATGCCCATTTCTTATCTCGTTTCCATCCATTACTGTTGACTCTCTTGTCTAATGCATCACTGATACCTAATAAGGTAAATACATGAGATAGACATTCATATGATTCCTAGAATAGTGTTGGCATCGTTGATTAATACGTAGGCGGCAAGTAAGTGTCAGAGTCAGGACTCAGTTACCGTAGCTTCAGGATCCACATTCACACCTCGGCTTTGAAAATATTAGATTTCGTATAAATATCCAGTATCAGTAATGATAGTTTCTAAAAGGCTCGCCTACCTAGTAATGCTGATAGGTTCGGATGTGCCTGTCCGGTAGCTATGTAAAAGTATATGTAGGTATTCTATAGATAAGATGAAGCAGAGGCACTCTTTCACTATAAGAGGATATATGGGCTGATTTGCTCGTAGCCTCATGATAACTAGTCAAAAACTATAGTAGGATCTCCCTTAAAATTCAAGCCATTGTATTCATTAAGGGGATATACGAAGTATGTTTTTTTCCGACTGATAATAATTCATAATACGCCATATCGAAAGGAGTCATTAGATGCCTGCCTAGAAAATAACACATACTATAAATATCAACACGCCGAATTCATTGCAAACGGACAATTATATGTCAGGTATAATGATCATAATGTGCATTAGAGACTATATACAAGTTCTCTCCCCCCCCCTTTACCACCACCACTCCATCTTCACAACTACCTACCTACCTTAGTATCTACAAAAACTCGCTCAATACCGCCACCCTCGTCCTCGCGTCGTCAGAGCCCCACTCGCCATCCGCCATCATCTTCATGATTTGGACCATACGCGCTGGGGAACAGTTAGCATTCAGAGGTACGTTAGGTAGGTAGGTACCGTAAAAGAAACAGCAAAAGCCAGAAACCGGGGAGGGGGGAAACGTACTTATATCGGCCCTCGCCCTCGCAAACAGCGGGTCCCTCAAGAACTGGTCCGAAGCCGCCGGATCTCTCCCCGCCTCGCGCAGCACGCTCCCAATGCACAGGGCCTCCAAGAACGCCCTGTGGTGGAAAACCCACCACACCCTGGCCTCGGGGTCGAACAGGGTGCACAGCACGAAGAAGCACGTGAGGGCCTCGTGCGCGGCCTCGAGCGTCGCGCGGATGTTGACGGGCACGTCGGGGCTCTCGGAGGCGTGCACCAGCATGAGGTTGTGGTAGTAGTTGCTGCTGAGGAACAGCGTCTGCCGCACCACGCGCTTGTTCGTGCACGCCAGCTGCGCGATGCTCTCCTGGTCCCACGACCGGAACACGTCCGGGAACGAGCGGTAGACGGCGCGGAAGTCGGCTACCAGCTTCGACTTCTGCCGCTGCGTGGAGCAGATGGGCACGTCGAGCGAGCGCGGGCTGGAGATGGTTTCTTGGACTAGGTTGGCCAGCATCCAAGACCCGCGGATATACGCCGTGTCGATCGGATTCGACTCGCCGAACCCGGATACGTCGTCGACGAAGTCCTCGACTTTGACGTCCGTGTGCGTGGCGTTGGGGGGTAGCGAGAGTAGCACCGTTAGAAAGGTGTCCTGGACGAGGACGGCTTGCCACAACTTGCGCCGTTGCTGCTTTTCGAATTCGCTTGCGCTAGGGACCACTGGTACAAGTTTTGCATCAGCTTCTCGGAGTGCACTGTTATTACTAGTCACCTCGGCCTACCTACCTATATTTGGATCCCTATGCAGGCCCATCGCATAAGCTTGCCTCACTGTAACGCTCATAGTTAGCATTTCTCCGTTTGTGTTTATCCGTGTAATGCACCGGCGTAACCCCCTGGCGAGGTATAGACACTACTAAACAAGCGTAAGGTTTTCCTAACCATTCTTAATGGAGGATCACACCCCCTATTTGAGATCACGAGGAAGGGATACCGGGGGGCGCTTAAGGGGCAAACGTACATAATAAGCCTGAAAAAGCCCAACCGTCTGATGCATGATTGTCGTTTATTAAGAAGTAGCCAACCAGTACCATAGCTTGAACAGAGCGTAATGAGGCCGTATTTAAATATGAGGACATACGCAACGCCTGATTACCTGCCGAGGCATAGAACTCGGCAGTTTGCTTGCGATCTTTAGGGTTCGTCGTCAACACGAATTGCGTTCCCAGGGCCATCATGGTGAAGAGCAAGCCTACGAAAGCGGCGTCGGTCTTCTCGGAATCTCGCAAGGACCAGAAGTGCTCGTACTCGAGATAGAAGGTATGGCGGTCGATTATGGGATAGACCGGGTCCACGCATTCGTAGTACTGGCTGATGAGGATATCGGTCTGCAACTTGTCGGGTAGAACCCCGATGACCTCGGGGAGCCCGCCCTCGCAAGTCCAGTAGTTGGTAAAAGGGTGTTCTGAGCCTACCCCAAAGACATTGGATGCTGTTGGGTGGGATAGAGAAACGTTAGAGATGAGCCCTGTTGACAGTGCGACGGACCCACGAGATGTCATTCGACTGGTGGGAATACCTCTATCTGCTATATTTGGAATCGAAGGTCTCATCCCACTCATCGTCACCTTCTTCTTTGGTGGTTTCGTCATCCTGCGGCCGTTGGTGGCCGACCGTGATGTCTCTCTAATAAGACTTGTTAGTCACACATTGCTTCTTTTTAACTTCGAAGTTATTTCTAAACAGCAACGGCTTACTCGAGGAGGTTTGCCACGTGCGCATATTTGCATTCCGTTTGTCGTTTTATACCTGACGGGGCCTCGTAAACATAAGATCGTGTAAGAGGATCGAATATTGTAAGAGGTATGCTTACAAGCTAAACAGTGAGGTCTACCTCGATCGCACTAAACTCGAAGCCGGACATGTTAGTAGCTGCGGACGTAGAACCATAGCAGTCGACTGAAGGTAGAAAGATAATTCTTCTCTAAGTCAAGTCACGCTAGTTTTCGGTTCCAACACAACGCATGCTGATGCATCTGGTCGAAGTCCCTCCATAACCCGAGGTATTCAATAGCATTGACGTTAAACTGCTGCTATTCCTCCTCTTTTATAGAAACTTATTTCAACAACGGCTTATAATCTAGTCGTTAGTTTCCCGTTGTTATCATTTTCTCTCCCGAGACATGACCACTGCAGTCAATAGGAAATAAAAGAAGAAGAAAAATCACAAAGTTTTAAATAATTCGATGCGCATTATTTCTCCGTAGTGCTACGTGATACTGACGCAGCCATCGGAAAAAGGAAATCAATTTGGTCTAACACTGGCTAGACGCAGAACGTGGTGGCGTCGGGATATTTTTTATTTATTTATTTTGTAAATGAATAAATAAATAAATTGTTAAAATTGACGTATTTACTTGCCTTCGTCTTCCGTTCGACACATTCGTAACACGATAGCGTCGGTTTGTTGCGCTTCTGCTTCTTCTTTAGGGGTTCGGAGAACGGAGGTACGGCGGTGACGCTACCTCCGCTGCTCGTGCCGTCGCCATCTTCAGGTTCAGACTTGGGGCCGAAATAAGGCTGAGTTGCCGAATCGGGCGAAGTGTAGAGTGTACTCGCTGAGGTCGGTGTGAGTATTGTGATTGGCGATAAAGCAGAGGTTGCGGAAACAGCGGAATTGGAATTGGCAGAGTTTCCAGAATATCCTCCGCTGCCGTACAACAAATCCGTCGGAACCTGAGATGACGACATGCGCGTTGGTTGCTCTTCTCGCTTCTTCGTCTCTCTAGCCTTTAGCCTTTAGCCTTTAGCCTTGGGCGCGGTATTGCTGCTATGCCGCAATGACTGCAATCTGCCCGGGGGAGGATTCAATTGAGGCTGAAGACAGAACTGCAGGTGGCGCATCCGGGAATAAGGAATAAGGGGCCGATCGTCTAATGAGGCTTGATCGATTATGTAGACAAGGTTAGGGGTGGTTGCGGAAAATGGGAATGGATGGATATAAAGAAACACAAAAGTGACAATTGAGGAAAGAAGCCAAGACTTTTTTTTTTTGTTCTCCCGTTCTTCGAGGAATTTAAAAAATTAAATTGGGGAATCGAAGAGGATCGACTGGGGGAATTCGATTTGGGAAAAGACTGGGAAGAGTTCGGCCGGCACGATTTGAGGGTAAGGTTTCAGTTTAGGACTTAGGTAGGTTAGGTAGTTAGTTTAAGAGCTATTGTAGGGATAAGGAATAATAAGGAATAGTTAAAGATGAATAGTTAGTAGGTTAAAAAGAGTATTATACTTTAATTGTATCTATCATATTAGATATGTCAGTTGACACACACATACACACACCCCGAAGCCCACGGTACATTATGTATTTTACCTCGCCTCTTAAACAAGTTTATGTATTCGTGGTAAGCTACCTAGGTACTTAAATACATCATATTATACGATACCTACCTAGTTACAGGCTTTTGTATCATTATACCTACCTAACTGTATAATACAACCGATACAAACTTAATAGAATAGGTAATGCATACATAGCTTGCTTCGCCCAGGTCCTTGGCTTACTTTCTGTAGTTCCTGGGACGTCACGTCATGATCGGTGTATACATTACATGGAATATAAGCCTCGGCCTGTTCGTACTTATATGTACCTAATGTAGGTATGTATGAAAGCGTCCACTGCATCAAGTAGTGAGATACTGTACTTCTGACCGTGATAGCGCAGTAGTGTAGTGTAAGTTGAGTTCACGCATGTCGGTGTATTACCACTAATCAATGTAACTTTAAGGTACTGTACAATACCTCGATCCATTAATTGGATACCTGATGGACTGCCCAGACTGCCGCCCCGCAAGCGGTCTAGCTAAGCTCTTTAGGTGCCGAAGGGGGTGCCGCTTCGAACAGGGATCAGGCCGCGGAGTGGGAAATGGTGGATATGGTGGAAATGGGTAGGGATGTTTGATGGATCATGGATGACAAGTCGCAAAGTCGGAGAGCGATATGAACCTGCAGGCACGCCGCTTCGATTAGAAATGCCGAAAACTCGCGCTGGCTGACTGACTGACTGAATGAATGACTGACTAACTACTAACTGGATGACAGCACGGGCCGGTTTATTATCGGTCGCCTTTCCCAAATCTGAGGCGTTTTATTAGTATCGTGAGCAAAGAATTAAGCATTATGGCTTCTGGTAGTTCATACATAGTGTCCCTCGGCTAAGCCGGAAAGACCAGGATGTTGTTACGCGTTACCCGCTTTGTTATCTCCGGCCAAGTTATCGTTACTCGGGCATTGTTACTCGGTAATCGGAGATATATATATTCGTCTTTGTCGTCAAAGTAAACATTACCTAGTTAGTTACGTAGAACTTGGCAGAATCTTCAACAATAACAATTTACAATAATTAGTATATTCTAGTTAGGTAACTCTAGGCGGCGGTCCCCTCACCCCCCTCCCCCCCAGAGTTCAATATCCAATCCTGGGGGTTAAATCAAGTTGCCCTCGTGCTAACCCAGTCTAGAACGAGATTACGTCAATACTTATTGGAGGGCGTCGTAATATGATATGTGCATAGGGCGTAGGTCTTGTCATAGGTATACATAGATCCATGGCTTAAGTTCTGACCTATTCTATACATAATTCTATTAAGATAATTAGTAAGATTTCTACAAGATGCCCCCAACCTGCATCCCCCGATTCCATGCGACTTGGCGACTTATTCCATAAGCTAAGATGGAGACTTGGTTGCTACCTTAGTCATGCATGTCATGGGTAAACAAGTACAATCGTATGCAGGCGACTACGTGGAACGACTGAATCTGACAGGCACGGTTTTCTAGAGTTATTCTCGAGTCTTTCGACTCTTTGTTAACGGGCTTTGCTCGTCAGCCTGGTCTAATCCCGTTGCTCTGTCTGGCTATAATGGTTATAGGGATCGTATTAGCCTCGCAGGTAAATAAGCACTAAGAACCAATGGCTTCGTCCCCGAGGGTCTGGTAGTGAGCCGAGCTCATGGTAATGTCGGGCTGCCTATTTTGGAGTTGCGTGTCAAGGTTCTGCATCTCTTCTGCATTTGTCGGGTTGACTAAACATGGTGCCATCGACGAATAATAGAAGACGTTCACATTACTCAGCGTTCTAAAAACAAACCACCGATATTATATGCCGAATAAGACTTTTTTTTTCTTTCTTCCAAGCCAAAGTTTGTTCGTCAATTCTAAACAGCTTCGCAGCTTTTGACCGATCGCATTATGTTGCCCCAGCCAAGTTACAACGTCGTCTTCAATTAAGTGCGGAGTTGGGGGCTTCTGTATTCGAACATGGAGAAGTGGATGAGCTGCATACAATTACTAGCCAAGCCCAACCTCGCGAGAATCACCATCGTCTGTCTGATTGCCATAACTCAATTTATTGAATGGGAATCGCCGCCCCCCTTCTAAGAGTTCTCCATAGAGCTTCAGCTCCGATATTTCACCGCTATGGAGCCCTATTATGTACAATTTGAAATCTCTACGCCCTATAGACGACCTTCAACGCCAAACTTTTACCGCTGTGTAACTATATTGTGCTTCCGGTATTGATGCAGTCATGGTCCAAGACAATACGATAACGCCTCTAATAAATATCGAATATGTCGAGCTGCTAGGCGTCTTCCTAGTTTGGAAAGAATTGGTAATGAAGAGGGTGTGTGAGACAGCGATGGCTCCATCTATGGTCTTTTTGCCACGGCGGCGGTGAATATGCCTAGCTGGTATGCTCGGCCGTTCGGGTTCCGGTGAATGATGCGAAGGTAAGACGTTTTAGCAAGATCTGGAATAGTTTGCGGGTTCTATAGCTTCTAGGGCAAGATAACTCTTACTAACTAGGTGGTTTCATTATGATTCTCTATTCTCTACGTCTTAACATTCTGACAGGGTGATAACGATGATCGTGAAAAATCTTTAACGTTCGGAAAATGTGGAAGAACTATCTACCTAATAGATCTGATGTTTACCCTGAGACAACCTAGTGCACAGCTATAGCGCATAGGACGACTGATATTCTAGTTGGAATATGCCAACTAGGGCAATTTTATCAGTTGTTAGACAGTCGACAGTCAGATACCTTCGCATAAGCGTATTGAAGTCGTCAAGGATTAAGGGGCAGCATATCAACCAAATAGTTGGGGTTCGGAATATTTCGCTTGTCTTATTCAGATAGCTTGGTAAGTTGACCAACAGATAGACTATGTGCTATTTGAGTTATCACAAAAATCCAAGCAGACAACAAAAGGGAAACCCTGTAGGGGCCATGTCCAAGAGAATCCAACTACACTACATTATGCAAAATCCAATTTGAAGTTCGGGACGGGGTTTCAAACAGGGCCACCTCGGGACCGTGATTTAGAAGCAAGTATACCTAGCAATATCTCATGATACAATTTAGGGGCTCTACTTGCAACACTTGCAGATAGCTTAAGGATGATTCACAGAGAACAACATCCAATCATGTTGAGAGTAACAGCTCACTTCGTATACCAATATCTGCTTTAATGAAGATTACAATTATAGTACGCCGTCAGTGCGGGCGAACGGTTCTTCTCAACCTACCGCGATCATTGGTGCGCGGCTACAGGATAATGCATCAGGGTAGAGATGTCAACTCCCAGCACATCGGATAGTAGAGCGATCCATCGGAAGCTTAACAGCGATCCCTGCCCAAGAGCATGTAAGTAAGATTGCCTACGAATGGACCAGTCACATATTGCCAGCCGAGGCCGGCCCAAGGCGTTGGTAGCAAGTTGGGGAGGGATGTGAAATCCCTCGTTGGGCCGCGACGAACTGTTTCACCCCCCAGTCCCCAGTCCGGGGTATTCCGCTCAGATTAACCGTGAGCACTACTATCGCTGGTATCCGACAAGGCTAGGCTTCCGCGATCGATCGACTCCGGGGGGCAGGGCCAAGGCTTAGACGTCAATGCTGATGCATCCCGCCCTTCCCTGCTGACCGTACGTGCATTCTGGTTGGGCTTCCGAGTGGGCGGCGTTGGAGACTATCTCAACTTCCACCCTCAGATTACGCCAGCAATGCCAACTTTAATATTAAATCGTGCTTCAAGCAAGAGTAGGTAAGACGAGAACTGCATCGTGTGGTGCTTCCTGCATCTTTCTAGACGCTCGAATTCAACCGAAAAAAGAAAAGAAAAAACAACGCGCGCATTGGCTGATCCCAAGGCGGCGGCTGCTGCTTACGGGGGTATCATCCAGGCAGTAATATAAAGCTGGAGTGCAGCATGGCATGGCATGGCATGGCGGCTTGGTGAGTTCGACAAGAAGGTCGAGGCGACGCACTTATTCATGATATCTGACAGAAATATTCGAAGACTGATTGGAGGCGGCGAGTGGGCTGTTGTTACATACATGGACACATCGTCACTAGCACCAGCTTACACACAACCAATCTTAACAGCTAGGACCCTAGGTACTTCTACATATTGACTACGAGCTTTATTACATATCTTCATCTCTGCCGATCTTCCGAGAGGCTTTTTTTTTTTTTTTGACTACACGTGTAATATGTATGTATAATAACTACGCGTATTTATAGAAGATGAATAATTATTCTTAATCATACGGGACGGGGATATATTCCGTATTGCCTAGTTAATCAATTTATCGTTGGGATCACGTACATAGTCGAGAATCAAGAAATAAGGGATACGGACCGTCCAGGGTAATATGCAATACTACCATATTGATTGTAGGTATGTATTGTATATGCAGTCCCTGCAAGCTGGAAGCATGACCCAATGTGGAAGACCCCAAAGGTTGGGTTGAATAGGGGTAGTTTTCGAATTAGTCATCACGTATTTGGCACAGCCACGTTGTGGCTTGTATTTACCCCTTTTCTTTCTTGCGCTCTTGTCTACAGTGGCAGCTTTTCATCATAACATTGTTCGTGACCTCGAGAGACGTCGAATTCGTGGTATGAGTCTCCTAGATTCTCTATGTCGAAGCTCCTAGCGAGATAAAGGAATTCGTTGAGGAGGTAGCGACGTGATTCGAGGGGATTATATGTGGGCATATACTAAAAGAGCTATGATTATGTAGTTACTTCTATGTCTTCATTGTATGTTTTTCACTAATATTTATAGTATAATTACGATCCGAAAATCATCTCATCAATCTTATGTTAGTTGTAAAAACAATATACATATACATATTCCCAGGAAATCGCTCTCCCACGTTAACTTAGGTTCCATAGTCACGGTGTAGGTAGTTAGTCTATATATCTGTGGTTTTGTACCTACTCCCTAGCTACTCCATTCAATCAAGCTAGAAAAACACTTGTTACAATATAAGTTATCCCACTAGAAGCTTCTTGGATAGATGAATCATGAATATTACTTCACACGGAGTTCTATATAAATTTCTACCTAGGTAGGCCTCTAACCTAGACTCTACCTCTTAGAATAACACCACCGCAACAACCTCACAAACCACCCTCTCAAAGGACATCGCCTACCATATCGGACCATATTCCCCCCCAGCATAGCCCTCTACCAACAAAATGGCAGACAACAATTCGTCCAAGGGATGGAAGTTAGAAGCGGCTGGATGGAAGCCAGTACCCAGCGCGGCATCTGCCACTACAACCACTTCCAATGGACCAAAGATACTGCGGAGGAAAAGTGAAAGCACCAGTACTTTAACCAGCCCTGCGCAAAGTACCACTACTAAGTCGTCGAAGAAGTGAGGGAGTTGGTATGTCCACAACAACCCCACCATACTGGTTACTTGTTTGCCGAGGGCAGAAAACTTCACTTAGGATGAAGTAGTTGGATGAAGTAGTTTGGAGTAATACTCCATGTCGTAATTCTTGAAGGAAAACATACCTAATTATTTCCCTTTTAATATGAATTGATATTATCTTTTATCGAGTATTGAAGACGTCTCTACAAGTGAACAGCGTAGCTACTTGCTATAAGAATACATAAGGGACAGTAGTAACAGCTGAGGTGCTCAATGATTGCTGACCAAGTGTCTACCTGGGTATGCTTCGAATAGCTGTTAGATGTGCTCTTATTCTTAAGGTAGCATAATATTGACTCTTTCTTCCTCATCCCGTAGCACAAGAAAGTCAATCAATGCGACGACTTTGTTATGCCGATGGTGATTATGATTAGACTAACTGTAAATATATCTCCTCGTTATGGCAATGGAACATAATGCCTCTTTATAGTTATAGTTTTCTATTACCGTCTTATGCGAGAGTAATATAGACCTTTCATAAGTAGGAGATTGTCCAAAATCCAACTTAAACCAACCGATCCTCCATAATCTAAACCCTTGGCCTATCACTTGATGGTCGCCCAGTCTATAAGATATCCTCAGCGTTACCTACCTAGGTATATATAGGTATACCTCATGAATGAAATAGTAAACCCCCTCGTAGATAACCAGATACCAGTCTATACTTGCCTGAGAAAGGTACAGCTCAAAAAATAGGGGAAATCCCAACGATATATACCCAGCATACAGCAGGTTGTTCCCAAACAACCCGTTTGTCCCCTTTTGTTGTATACCAACCTCCTTACAATGCCATCGTTCGCTACCACAGTTGAAGCCAAAGAATACCCACCATGTTAGCTACCAATCCTCTCCTCCAAAAATAATCTCCAGCTTCCGGAATAACGATATTGGTCCTATTACGTTTCCCCCGTCTATATATACGCGGGCATATTCCCTTCCATGGAGTTTTTTATTATTTTCGGCATCATACCAAGATAGCATACTCCTATCAACAGTACTCCAATACCCAACTAGAAAGTACACTTGTACGAAGAGAAAATAAAATAAAAACTTACTTGAGACCCTTTGCTTCTTACTCACAACAACAATGTCTCATTCTCATTCTCATTCTCGATCTCGATCCCACTCGACCCAGCCTCGACGGCCCTTCGAAAACGGCGTCACGCACGCAACCTTCGCGTGGATCGCGAGAATGATGGGCTTGCGCACAGGCATGCCCCGGCGGGAGTGGGAGCGCCGGGAAGCCGCGCGCCGTCAACGACGGGAGGAACTGCGGCAGCAGCGAGACCGGTTCACGCGCAGCAGCCACGGCCAAAGCCTCCCCGTAGATGAGATCCGCTCGCGGGTGACGCTGGCGCAGCAGAACGGGGAGAGGGTTTCCACGCGCATCCTGCACGAGCTCGCCGAGAAGGACGGCGTGCATATATCCCGTGGGCATTGGGATCTGCGTCCGGAGCTGGTTGCTCGCATCGCGTACCTGCGCGATAGGTATTACTTCCTGGGACACGATGGGCGCTTTTACTATAGCACTAATCCGACCGGTAATGGTCCCGACTTTGATATTTCCCTCGACACCTATACGCCGATCCTCATTCGGCAGCTTGCTTATCCGTACCGGCAGCTGTGCCGGCGTTAAGTTCGAGACAACTTCGTCTCGTTGGGAAGGTGAGCACGTACCTAGACCTACTCTCCCTACTCACATTCGACCATGACAAGGTAGGTAATATCGTACGTTATCGCGCCAGAGCAAGTTCTAAGAGGCGGTGCCCTACTTCTGTAAAACTCGTTTCGATATCCTGAGAAACCACTAGGAGACCGTTTCGGAACTTAGTAAATCGATCTGTAATCCTGGCCTGGCGCGCTACCTATCGTATAGTATCCCTCTGTCCGCTGGTAAGATACTCGAAGACGTGATGAACGATCCTGTGATATTAGCCACCAACAGACCTTGAAGATACCTACGTTGCTACTAGCAGTCGTTGGGGTAGGTAACCGAGAGATAAGTTAGAATGCGGGAGCTTGGACTCTTATGCAAACCTATTCCCCTAGATCTACAAGGCATTGTTCCTTGTTCTTTTATCTTTTTCTTTTGTTATTGTTCTGGCTTTCTGGTGAGTATAATCAGCTGGAGCTGCGTTGACTTACCAGGCCAAGTTTAGGAAAATCCGTAGAAAATAAATAAAAAATCTGTTTCCCAACCTCTTCAGCCATTTTGTAGTTTAGATAGTTGTAGTTAAAGTTTTCTTTGCTCTTGGTTGATAATAATGATCGTGATGATGAATTCGTTGACGTTTAGTAGGCGTGTGTATTCTCCGAGATATCTATACACTTAAAACACCCTATACGTACCCATGATGTGTTCATATACCTAGAGTATGTTCTCGTTCGTTCTTTGTCCTTAGTCGTATACGTCCGATGTAGATATTAGAACTCCGCTTGCGCCATACCTACTATATCCTCGGTTTAGTAAAATCCGAATACCCATGAGAACCCGTTCCATATATACTAGGTACCTCTTTATAATATATACAGAGAAAGGCAGACTATTCGTAGCTCGCAGAATGATAACTGCTCACTACTCATAGTCTGCCTGGACCGGAAAACTTTTGGCGTTCCCCAGGGCGGAATGCAGGCTAGATATAGAGACATCGAAAACAATAGACGAAAGACACTTCCCACGGCGAAACGCGCTAGGCTTTGATTAATCCCCAACGTTATAGAATAATATTCTTTGTAAAAAACGAACAAAAGATTCATTCAGTATACACAAACCTTGGAGCTTCGACGACTTCATTGTATGAAGCATCAATCCCATTATGTTGTTGAACAGTTTCTTAGACAATTTGGCCCTTCGGCGTTTCAGATATTTCATATTATAGCCTCTGAAAGGTCTCAAAAATATTGTGAAAGAACCACCTAATTTATCAAATGAAAACATAGGCAAACTAACTCCATAGATAATATAGAGTACGAAGTTACGAAAATGATCATGTCATATTAATTACCAAGGTGGACAAAGACATTTTAATGCAGACTTGTTGCGTTAATTCACCGCAGAATTAATACTCATGAACGCGTGGAGATCTATTAACTCAGTGAAGACCCCTAATCCACTTTTGCTACCCCGAAGGCCGTGTGGACGATAGTCTCGTGCCGAACCTCCTTATTAGGCCTGTATACTTCACGATTCTCAAGTAATCTTCACTATCCATCGGCCTGGGCAATTGAAAAGCCCCTAAAAGAAATGATCCATCGAAGAGGGACCGCGCAAAGACACTGGGATGTGGTCTGGGCGACCCCTAAACCCATACCTAACCCAATGGACGCGCCGTTCCAATGGTAAAAGAGTCTGGCCACATGATTCATAAGGTCGTAGCCTTTCCGTGGAGTTTCATCAAATCAAAGACACCATGATCCTCGCTAAACCTGCGCTGTTGTGTTTTGGCTTACCACCAAACAATGCCAAAATGCTTCATTCCGAACGCAGTAAAAGATTCCGAAAGGCTGAAAGGATCGAGCGAGTATATATTTACTGGCGCCTTTCTCCTCCGAATTGGTCTCTGATCCAACGGAATGGGCCACTGATAGAACCTCTTCCATCACGTGTCCTATCGCTTTGCGCCGAACGACGGCTGGAAGGGGAAGGGCTTCTAACCCTGACTGAGGCCGTTCCAGAGTGTGTCGGGGGCGAGTTCGAATCTCGTCTATGGAATGTTTGCGACCGGCTTGAAGAATTAGTCTGGTCAGATCTCAGGCGACTTATCGGCGGAGCGCCATCCCATCTTCGGTGTTGAGACGAAGTATCAGACGGGCCGGGCTGTGCATCTGAGGTTGTAGTGACGGGACGGCCAGCAGCCTCGCCATCGATAGACGCGCGGCAAATAGGACATGTGTTGTGTTGTTTCAGCCATAGGACGACGCACTGTTCGTGAAACCAGTGTGTACACGGTAGCACAACAGCTTCATCCCCCACTTTCACCTCATCGATGCATATAGTGCACTCGCCTCTTAATTCGGGTCCTAGCATCTCCTCATCTAACTTCTTCTTTGGTAGATTGGCAATAGCCTCCTCCGAAGCAGGTGCTGGAGCATTTGATTGCGGGTGTGCCTCCATGAGACTCGTGATGATGCGGTCTAGTGCCTCCTGAGAATAAACCGCATCACCGTGAACCGTGTGAGGATTTATGAGGCTCGCTATCAGCTGACTTAGAGCCAACGAGAAATCTCCTGGTTGGCGGGGACCGCCCTCTCTGCCAGCTTGATTTGGACCATTTGGAGAGTCACGACCAATGGGGGGAGGACCTAGGTCTCCCATTATATTTCCAAAGACTCTATCATATACATTAGCAAGTCCCAAAACAAATGTGATATATCAATGCAATATAAAATCTAGAATACTCCAGACCGGATGTTAGGGAAGGAAGCCTTACCTTTGAAACGGATCTTCAGGGCCTAATCCGGGTCCGTGGCCAGGATCGGGGCGAGCCCGCGAGGAACTGGATGTAAAGGTAACACTACTGACACCACCAGTGAAGCCGGGGCCAGAAAACCTTTGAAGCGTAACTCGCGGGGCTTGACTACCTCCGAATAGTGTGTCTGGACCGGATCGACCAATCGAGGGGTTTCCTCCCATATCTGATAGCATTTCCGTGAATCTGCGGAAGATCTGGTCGCTATTCTCGGGAGCCGTTCGGGGGGCGGTCCTAAGGCCTTGGCTATCGGGGGATCGGAATATAGATCGATGGCCATAAAAGCCCCCAGGACCACGAAGTAGGTGCTCCTCAATATCGTCCTCGTCGGGATCTTCATCAGAATCGAGAAGAGGGTGATGAGGGTGATGAAAGCGACGGTGTTGTCCGAAACCAGCTAGCAAATTGTCATCGTCTAGGTTGCGAGGATCGCTTTCGGGTGAAACCTGCTCGCCAATTAGTAGGGTAATCAGACATAACTTTTCAAATCAACATACTATCTCTGTGATCTCGCCGTGGCACTCGGGGCATTCTAAAGTATTCGGGTGTTGATCTCGGTACCACTCGTTCCTGCAGCCATGACAGAAGACTACCTCGCGATCACCCGTCGCATCTAAATGGTGGTTTCTAGACGCCATCTGGCCTTGTCCAGACTGTTGATAGGCGACAAGGGCAGTGACTCCGAGGCCAATAGCTAGGCCAGCTGCTCGAAGGGCTCGGAACGCCAGAATGACAAATCAAAAGGTAGGATAGGATGTATCGATCGCTTGGCAATTCTGGACTCTTTGAGGCTATCGCGTCCAGACAAAAAGGGATTAGGTTGGCTAGGCGAGTGGCGACTAAAGAGGTTAATGAAGTCGGATGAATTGGTGAGGTTGATGAGGTTGGATGAGGCTGACGTGGGGTGTTTGAAGTCCGATATGGAGGTACCGTAGATGGTAGATTGTATGCAAGCCGCAACGATAGGTTGATGATATACCTGGCAAGGCAGATTTTTAGACCCAGAGTTTGTGTACGAAATGCAACAATGCAACAGTAGGAAATATATCAAAGGTAGGCTCGCGACAGCTGTTATACGTCAGTTAGCAGCTGAATAATTTGGATGAGTTGTATTGTAGGGTATCAACTGTGGCGCACCTCGGAGTCAAGAAGTAGTGTAGCTGGTGAAATACGTCAGCGGATGTCACGGAACATCACACAAGCAGTGTGTCGAACCTGTGTATGTTGGCAGTTTGATGGCAAAGAGAACTTCCAAGAGATATTGGAAAGGGAAGCTTGAATAATTGTCTAGCCGCAGGGGGAGGTTTAGAAGGTTAGAGATCTGAAGTCCATGTGCACCAAGGCCAAGGGTTATCCCGCCAGAATTCCCAAGCGTCTCCTTGGTCTAGCTTCCGTGGTAATCATCCAATGGTCGGATGTCGGATGTGGTTATTATTTAGGTATATTATTAATAGAAAGGGATCTTTGTGCTTTAATAGCGCTTGGTGTTAAATAATGCGCCTTCAAGAAGCTTAAGACTAAGGTTGAACATTAGTGACTGGTTAGCAACCTCCAGTCGCCCCGTTCCTTCCTTTCGTCATCTACAGGTGGATATTTTACCTACCTACTAAGGTACCTAAGGTAGTTTAATCTTCACCTGGGTTACACACCTACGTGTACCTAAGTAGGTACTACACACGTACCGCGGGGCAAGTCCTCACACAGGCAGGAACGGGGTATCTAGGTACTAAAACAGCCACATTTTACCTGAATTTGATTATGTAATCTTAAAAAACCATGGAGCATGACTTGCCCTTAGTACGTACCTACGTACCTAGGTACAAAACCAGACTCTTCTGGCGTCTTCAGAATTCAAGGTTGTTTGTTTGCTTAAAATACTGTACTGATTTATTTAGATCTTTTACTTGTAATGCTTGGTTGCCAGTGAGTCAAGTTCAAATGAGGTACGGGTACCTAAGGTAATTTCTAAATTTTTAACCCCTTATAGTTGGTCACATTCTGTTGAAATGGTCACGCGAGGTCGTCGGGATATCATCAACACCAACACTACGCCAGCTACCAATTCCTCTTTGTATGGGAGATGAATTTGACACCAATCAAAAGTAGAGTTGAGTGATTTATATATATAAATCTACATACTCGCACTCTAGCATAATGCCACGACGCTAGATCCCAAACACCAGTGCTTCAGTAAAACCGTTCCCTTACCTCGACAGTCTAGGATTACACCTGCGTCTTAGGCAGACTACCATAATTTGTATTGATAGGGATACGGCTCCCCTAGACCAGCCGTTACAACGTCATCAGTTCAATATAACCGCAATAGCAACCTCTAACGCTGATCTATCATGTTACCGAGTTTTCCCTACGGAGGCTTCCGCCAAGCTTCTACCGCTTCTTGCCGCGGAACAGGATTCCGCCAACTACGCCAGCCGCAATAGCGAAACCGCTTATGATCGCAACACCCATTAGGCCCTCTTTTGTTACCTTGTCGTCGATCAATCTGCGCAGGTCTGCCGCCTGATGATTGGCAGGTTCCTTATCCAGCAGCAAATCATTATAGCGTCTTGCCTCGCCATAGTTTCCAAGCTTGAAGTTGGCTAGTGCTAAGTAGTAGAGACATTCACGTCGGCGGTCGGGCGACACTCGAAATATATCCGAGAGGAGACGTACACCTAGCTGTTGATCGCTTCGAGTATTCGACTTGATTAGGCCCTGGGAAAAATGATGAGTATATACTGCGAGGTAGCTCTTGCGAAAAGCTGTAGATAGACGCACCCATGCATAGTTGAATTTCGTTTGGATACCGGCCATCTCACCCTCTTTCTCATATTGTGCGCGCAACGTTTGGAGTTCCGCGTCCTTCAGCGGGCTATCCGAATAAAAATTAGCTGACGAGTCAAAGCGGGGGAACGATTATAGATGATAGTACCTTTCCGCGTCCACGGCATCTATAATCAGGAAAAACAGTATAGTTTAGCATTTTTATGTTCCCTGAGCGACTTATAGTGAGCGCAATAGACGGGCATACTCACAAGGTAGAGCCGTCATCTTGTCGGTATTGGCCGATTTTTAGTGTATAGCTCGTACTGTGCGGTTTTCCTCAAGTAGGAAGAGTCGTAGTAATAAGTAAGAGCACACACTATAGAGTATGTGACTTTCGTTTGAGTTGTATATCTTGTCGTATAGTGGATATGTATTTGTACGAGGTAAATATACGAGAGTATTGTTGAGAATACGTCCTAGCGACGGCAAAGAGGTTAATAAGAACGGCAGCCTCCAAATGTGGCGGGAGCTCTCAGTCATCACCTCCAGTGTCAGAGGGTGGGCTATATGTGGCGCTGATGACGCAAAACGAGAGGTGGGGTACATGGCATGTACATACTTGTACTTAAGTACTTTACGTTATATAGGTCGTCCTGGTGATACCGCGGTTTGTTTTCGACATTCCAACTTTTTAGCTTCATAAAGAGAACCACACCGAATAACCTAAGACTTATTGACGATTACAACAAAAGGAATAAATTCGCTATACACAGTCACGATGCTTTTAGACGAGGATCCTGCTACTGTAATAAAACCCCATTCTTGCTTCTATCTTAATTCAAATTACTGACACCATCTAGCTCATCCACCATACAATCAACAATTTCAATATCGGCCCCGACAAGCTCGCCGTTTCGCGCATCAGCGACTCTCTATCCACCTTAAATCAAGCGCGAGAGCTTCGAATCAAAGAAGCCGAAACATCACTGAAGAGTATATATAATACCGCTATCATCCAATTAATCATCAAGTTCGTACTAACATAAACAAATTAGAACTTAGCCGCTCCCTCAACACACTCCAGGCACAACATGAAGAGCTCACGTCGGCGCACTCGTCATCCGCACACGCATCCGAGATCTCGCGCCTCGATACCCAGAAATTCCGCATCGCGAAAGCAGTCTCCGACTTGGAGATGGAAGCAGAGCGCTTGTCTTCCCAACAGGCCGATCTAGCAGCGCGTTTGCAGGAACTAGAACTACAGGGACTAGAAGGATCACCTGAAGATGCAGCAAGTAGAAGGGACCCAGTCGATGACGAGGTATTGCTACGGTTAAAGGTGTATCGGAGTCTAGGAATCGATCTAGAGCGAGACGAAAAGGACGGCGAGTTCTCCAGAGCCATTGTGCGTAACGATCGCAAGGGCGATGTTCATGTTATAAATATGGACAAGAAGTTCTCACGCTTCTTCTACGCTAATTACTTTTGGCAAACGCTCTAGGTTAGAGTTAGAGCCTTGGCGAATCCCAACTCAGGGGAGCTCATGTGGGATGAGCATTATGAAAGTTACTGCACGGTGTTGGGCGTTTTTTGGTTGTTGGAATACCACAGGTTATATCGAGTCTTATACACATACCAATTCACTTATACAACATGTTTGGGTTATGATACAACATAGCGCCAGATCCCACTTTTGCCAGATAATTGGGATCAAACCTGTTGTCCATAACTTCTGACCTTGAGACCAAACTCCTTATTCTGCCCCCACGAACCCAGACGTAAAACTTTTTACAGAACGCTAATCCTTTCTATCTTACAAGACAACCCCCACATATACTAAATATCTTGAGTAGAGCCTTTTGTTAATAACTCCCAAACGTGTTGTATCCTTCTCATTATCATTTCTTGTCACCGGCCATTTTTGGCATGCTTCCTTTCTATTGTAGGAAAATATTCGTTATCGTCGAGCTTGGTAAAGCTACGTGGCCTGCCACTTGTTGGTGTTCTTGATCTTGAGCTGTTGGGCGGCGTATACATTTTTAGTCCTTCTGGATTGTAAGCCGCCGGCACATTCGCGCCCTTCATATAAAGGCCTAGCCCGCTATTTCCTGCCAACGAAGCATTTCCGCTATGTGATCTGGAATGATGGCGGCGGTCTGGAAGTTCGAGCCGCGAGTTGAGACTATACCACTGTTGGTCCGCGGCGTCCTCATCGACATCCACGCTATCTAATCTCCACCCTCCTACACCCTCGAAGTCCCTTTCGAGTCCAGTGGTGGGTGTTAAGGCCATACTATCGAAGCCACCAATAGGTGTGGCAGAGCCGCTACTAAAGCTGCCTCGTACCTTGCTGCGTCGGCGCCTATGCCGCGCTTCGGGCGAAGATGGTCGGGAGGATTCCGAAGAGTGTGATGGAGTACCTGAAGGAGTCCGCCGATGTGGGGTATATCGAGTATGTGCAGCATGACCTACAAACACATAACGCAAGGTCTCGAGCCCGACGTCGAAATATACGAGGAACAAGCGTAAGAATAAGACCATGAATGCTAAGATGGTCGTGAAGCCGGCGCAAAGGGCAAGCGGAAGGGCGACGAAGAAGAGGAATGGGAAAATGAAGAATTGTAGTGGACTGAAGATCGCCATTGGAAATGTCCTGAGAACTGTATCCGGCGGAATTGTTCGCTTCACTTAAGCGATGATTACCGAGCCGGTGAATTTATCAGATCGCATTGTCATTGCGATTTTGTCATTGCGATTTGGGGCAATCCAAATGCCCTAGTTGCGTCGGGGGCGAGCTAAAAAGCTTGATAGGAAAAAAGAAGAAGATCAGGATGAGTGCCGGCGAAGGGTAATACAGGTGAGGAGAATGGGGGAGCAATGAAGGCATAATATGTAATAAGACATGAAGAAACTCGAGACTAAGACACTCTATTCGAATGTAGTCTCGATCATAAGAGGGTGGTGTAGCATGGAAACTTCCGATTCTAAATTGCCTGCTGTAAATTATATTTCGGCGAGTTCCTAACTTTCACATGCCGAGTGTCCAGTAACAGTTAAGGTGTGTTTTAGTAAGGTACCTGAATACCTACATACTTCCGTCATCTGTTAGCGAACCTTTAGTGTAATTGCAGAATTGCTCCGGGGGGCGAGTCGAACATCTGATAACTGATAACAAACAACACCAAACTTATCAAAAAGTGTAATACCGAATACTACATAGTATCGACGAAAATAAGTGTATGTCCATGACTCTATAAATACGTTTATGGCGCACGTCCGTCTATTTGATAAGACAAAGAGAGAAATTGGCTAAATCGACCAATGATATTTACGGTTTGTACTAATTATCGGACCTTTCCCTATTATGTTAATGAACGACGTCAAGTCTTATGTATATACTGATACTGAAATATGTAATGGGGGTGTAGTTGAATGCCTGTCAAGGGGATAGTTCATCCTATCATATGTAGAGGGGGGGTAAGGCGGCGATATTACCTTACGTCACGAGACCAAAAATAGGACCCCTCAAATACATAATCCATCAATTGAGTTGTAGATACGCAGTCATTGGCGAATGCCAAATGCCAAATGTTAAATGTTATTCGGACCAACCTAGGCACAACCAGCTATCAGAAGTTATCAGAGCAAATCGTACTACATCAGTCCAGACCTACACCAAAACCATATCTCGAATCAGTCCTTTTATTTTTTGTGCTACGTTTCTAGATAGTACCCTGCCAGCCTGCTTACCATCTAGATCCTCTGCAGGTGAGTCATAACTACAGGCCATGCTGCTTGTTGTTCGATTACATCTTATCAGGAAGATGATGTTCCTGAGGCTCTAGACAAAAAAAATAGCGGGATTACTAACGGCTGGTTTGAAGTTTAAATCTGCGCGCTTCTCGATACGCGAACGCCAAATCTCAAATCTAGATTACAACGATATTCCATATCTTTAGGTTTGGGGGTTCCCTCGTTATCTTAACCTAGGTATCTGCTTACATAGAAACTTTAGCTCCTTCGCTGTGAAGTACCTATCACTTAAACGTGATTGCATAAGAGGTCTACTTTACTTAGCTGGGAACCGAAAGACGCTGAGCAGCTCTTCAAGGTTGGCTACTTAAGCGATGTGTCAACATTTAGGCGAGGAAGGGCCGTCCGCTGTTTCGGAGCCAAAGCTCCATGATGGATCGGATGTCTCCGAACCTTTCCCCTGGGACGTTGGAGTCTTCGACGCCCACTGTCACCCAACTGACACGATGACGTCGATAGCAAGTATACCGGACATGAAAGCACGTGCTCTGACCGTCATGTCCACACGATCCCAAGACCAAGACCTTGTGGCCAATGTAGCCTCTAAGTTGGGTGTTAAAGACTCGGACTCGTTTGCCTCGTCGTCTTCCGCAGAATACCGTCTAGTTCCCTGTTTTGGTTGGCACCCTTGGTTTTCTTACCAATTCTACGACGACCTCTCTGCTAGCCAAACCTATGATGGAACACCATCTGGCAAAATTTCACATTACGATAAAGTGTTAACCCCGTCGCCTTCATCAAAAGATGTATCCTTTAGCGAGGGTCTTCCGGAGCCGCGGCCCCTTTCCGAATTTCTGCGGGAGACCAAGTCTCGCCTTGAACAATATCCTCTTGCCCTCGTTGGTGAAGTCGGCTTAGATAAAGCATTTCGGCTTCCCCAAAGCTGGACGTCGGCCCACGAAGTTCAACGCGATGCGGGTGTTACGCCCGGCGGCCGCGAAGGCAGAACACTTAGCCCTTACCGAGTGCAGATAACCCACCAAGCTGCAATTCTCGAAGCCCAGCTGCGGCTCGCGGGTGAGATGGGCCGTGCGGTAAGTGTCCACGGAGTTCAGGCGCATGGTGTGGTTTATGATACCATAGCCAAACTCTGGAAAGGACACGAAAGACCAGTAACATCGAGAAGAGAGAGGAAACAGATTGCTGAAGGGGCGGAAGATTTCTCCAGTTCATCTTCAGATGAAGATGAAGATTATGCCACGTGGATTAACAGGAGAAAAGAAAGAGCTGCGAAACAGGGTCGTATTAAACCGGGACCGAAACCTTACCCCCCGCGGATTTGTATGCATTCTTTCAGTGGTCCTGTTGATGTTGTTAGGCAATATCTTCATCCCTCAGTACCAGCAAAGGTTTTCTTCTCGTTCTCAATCGTGATAAATTGGAGCACTGGAGGTGGAGACAAGGCCGAGGAGGCAATCCGCGCCATCCCTGATGATCGTATATTGGTTGAGAGTGATCTACACACGGCGGGTGAACAGATGGACCAGTATCTAGAACAAGTATGCAGGAAGATATGTAAGGTCAAGGGATGGGAACTGCGTGAGGGGCTTGAGAAACTGGGTAGGAACTGGAACGAATTCATTTTCGGGTAGTTACATAGTATCTAATAATGTTTCTTGTGGTTCATCCGAGAGAAATAATCCACGACTCCTCCATAGTATATAGAGTTGATCATGACTCGTCACAATTTGATATAACTTCTTCGGTCTTCGGTTTCCGGAATATTGCTTTGCTGAACCAGTCTGAGATAACTTAGGATATCGAATTGTACTTTGGCATAAGGTCTACTAGAACGAAAACCGTTGTTAATAATTTGTATCCGATAGTGGGCGTTGTAATAGTAAAAAGGCGAATTTAGCATCTAGTTAGGTAGGAGTATGCGAGCAAGTTGATGGTTGAATTAGGATAAGATGCATATATAAAAGTGGATTATACCGGGGTACGCACAGATAAGCGCAATTAGTGGCCCCCACTTCCATATGCCTAGCTGGCCTGTGACAGGTAATTGCACCAGAGGTAATTGCCGCAGGGGAGCAGCACCTGCACCTTTCTAGAAGGCGTTTTCCATTTTGCTTTCTATCTTCCCTGATTTCCCGCTTATTTCTCGCATATCTTCCAGTCACAAAATCTTTCGGACGCACCCACCGGCTCTGTGTGCCCCAAATCTGCTCTGCCCAAATTTATTGATTGCCAGATTGCTACCTCTACGAAGTACAGACCACAATACCCCCGAACGAACCCTCGTTTTATTTTTCTGATAGCCTGATGGGAACACAAGCATCCATCACTCTGACGCATCTTCCATCCCGCTGTGCCATACATACGTCCCACAGCCAAATCCTTGTTACAACTGCATAGGGCCGTCCTGTCACAGCCTTTTCCCCCCTACCAAACCTTTATTAGTAGTTTTTTTTTTTCTTTTAGTCGCGCCCTCTTGGCTCCTCCAAGATTAGGCGTTAGGGCCTTCGATACATCTGGTGTCTGGTGTACGCAGTACGTACATACCTACCTGACCTAAAGTACCTAACCTACATACGATACGGTCTTTTCGCAACCTAGGGTCCTAGCTACTGGTCCTGGCAGCCTAGCTGGCCCACGCGGGAACTGTTGATATTCGCAGATTGGCGAATTAGCACCATCTCACGCCCATTACGCAGAACTGTGGTCCCGCTCTTATTACCTGTCTTAGCTTTTTGGCCCATCCTCATAACGAATCCTTGGCTCTCGTCTTAGACAATACTACACACGAGAGAAACGAGCGTCGGAGAACGTCTGTTCTGGAAAAGGAGAAACCTGAACTTAGTTGGTGTTAAGCCTTTTCCTGCCCTATACGCACGGTACAGTTGCTTTGGTACAATATAGGTACATCAGAACTATTCGGGCCTACATCTACTCCATCTACTCCATCTACTACATCTACCTAGACGTATACAAAATCTCTAGGTATCTTTCAAGGTACTGATGGGTTGTGCCTGTCTCTCGCCGATTAAGGTACAATACATACGTTGATACATACGTTGGAATCGCGCTGTACACCCCCTTTGCGGTTTTCGAATTGGGTAATCAATTCGGTCTCAAGTCGACGCCGTTCATCCCAAACCAATCGATTGGAAAAGAAAGGATTACCGCTATAGGCCTGAAGCAGTTTGGCTCAAGATTTAACGTTTAGTAAAGTGACACCAAGGTCTCGTTGTTTGGCTCGGGTGAGGGTTTCGGGGTGCATAGCTGGCATTTCATCGTCATACACCCTTGCTATTTTCGGACGCACCCCACACAAACGCGCGACACACCATCTTCGCTTGTTGTGGTGAACAAATCTGAGCCCCAACGAGTCCCGTCCCAGATCTGCCCTCGCCCACGTCACGCCCGCGCCGCCCAGCCCTGCCAGCTGTGCCAGCCGTGGTGCTAGCCTATCGTGAGCCATGTACGCAGGCAACTATGGTCTTCCCAATGCCATTCCTCCTGCGGGATCACAATACAATGGCGGCGCCCCACACTCAGCTTCTCACAACCCTCATTTGCAGCACGGTCAAGGTCCTCCCAACCAGGTCTCGATGTACAATCAGCAGTTTCCCATGGGTACGCAGGCCGGCGTTGCTTTCCCCGTTGCTCCTAACATGATGTCAGGTCCTGGTCCTGCAGGAATGATGCAAAATACCGGTATGCCGCACATGGCCGCGGCTAGTGGTCCGAGTAAGCACCTTTCCTTGCCGTCGGGCCTCTTTGTCTCCCTAGCCACATCCTATTCTCCGTAATCTTCCATGCTGCTGTCTAGGGCGGCTGGTAGCAGATTCACACATCATCTCCTAGCGCAGAAGATACTAGTGGTCGTGTAGTCTCTGTGCTTCTGTGGCTCCCTTACTGGCCCAATAGACACGGGGACAGCTACTACTGCTTATTCGCCTTACTCGACAATGTTTATTATACTGATGAGTTGATTCGCTAATTTGTACAGTGCCTAACTACCAACCGCCATACACGAACTCGCCTTATGGTGCTGGTGTCCCCAGCTCCGTCGCGCCCCAGATGAACATCCCTCCCAACTACGCGATGGGGAACGGCATGCCTATGTCTAGTTTCCCTATGCATCCTGGGATGAATCCTCAGCAGCACATGATGCAGCGTATGCACCCGCCTCCAGCAAATACCCCGGGGATGTCAACTCCTACGCCCCAACGATCTTTCCAAAACCAGCCTCGCCAGAATACTCCAACTCCGAATAGCGCTCCGAATACACAACACCCGATGTCAACTCCACAAAATGCGCATAGCACGCCTCAAAACCAAACGCCGAACAATGCGCAGCAGCAACAGCAACAGCAGCAGCAGCAGCAGCAGCAACAACTGCAACAGCAACAACAACCGCAATCGCAACCACAGCAACAGCAACAGCAACAGCAACATCAACATCAACCACCTAATAATATCCCAACACCGCAAACCCCAACATTTCCGACATTAGCTCAAAATAACGGACCCGGCAACGCGTCATCTGGGTCGACGCCGTTGAGCCCTGGTCCGGATTCTAGAGACAAGGAACGGGTTGGTGTGATTTTGGAGATTAACAACGAGTTATTGTTAGAGGCCATGCAGATACAAAATACGCAACAAATACTGAAAAAAGAGAGGGCATCCGCCAATGGCACTGATGGTACTGCGAGCGAACCGGAGAAGAAGCCCACCGAGGAAGATATGTTGGCACAGGACTACCTTCAGTAAGTTCGAATACGGTATTGGACAGAATACGGAAACTGACCTATGATTGTAGTTGTATGCGAAGACTCCAGACAAACTTGACGTATTTGGCGGCATTAGCCGACAAAAAAGGCAATGTCACAGCTGGGCCGTGTCCTAGTTACTTAAAACCACCGCCACTCAATACTAGTATCAAGTTAAGGATGATGCTAGGTCCGGATGGATCGGAGAATCAAGAAGCTCCGGACCGGAGGGAGACGGCCAAGTACATCCAAGAATTGTATAAAAAGCTTCAGGCTCTTTACCCAGGCATCGACCCGAACAAGGAACCAACAATCACGGCCTCGTCTGGGCGACAGAACGCTCAACAAGCGAATGCAATAAAGCCTGGCTCTCGAACGCCTGGTCAGCCTAGTCCAGGGGGGCAACAGACTCCAAAGATGGCTACTTCGGCGCCGCCATCGTCTGTCATGAATATAGCAGCGGGGTCATAGAACGATTAAGTCTGATTAAAAGCATTTGATTTTAAGAAGAGTTGAGTAAAGGTCGGCTTTTGAGGGCATATAATATACGGCCCTTGAAAGTTTCGGACCTGAATGGACTGGCTTCTTTTTGCGAAGGCATTTTACGTTACGTTGCATCTTTGTATAGAAAAATACCCCGCTAAGATCAACGGTACGTGGTGGATATTGGGACTTTGAAGAGACATTTATGGGCGTCGGCGTTACTCTTGAGGATGGGATGCTGCTTTACTTTCGTTAGATAAGGTATATGCCGGAGTCAAAACACTGTATAGCTCGCATAAGGTCAAAAACTTTTAAAAGTTCGTGCCGAGTAGGTATCTTTCGAGTTTTATCGTCTTACATTTGTATATCATAGGTATCTACTCCATATAAAGCTAAGTGTATGAATAAGACGAAATGTTATAAGCAAGACCTAGGGACGAATTGAGTGATGGAGAATGGACGGCAGGCTTGATATATATATATATATATATAATGGCTACCTTAGGTACCTTGAAGAGAGGCTATGATACGTGCCATTCATCTATTATTTATATTTGATAAATATTATACGAATTACATAGGTACGCTCCGGTGGGAGTGCTGCTGCTTTTCCTTGCCATCACCCAACTGCTGCTTTACATTTTAACAATTGTAACCCACCAAGATCGAGTCTTATCTACTATGTACGTATCAATGGTTTAAATACGGATTACATCCTAAAGCTATTTTATGTTGGACTCCGTGTTAGGTACTAGGTTTTGCGCGTGGACAGTGGTAGTAAGGTAAGGCGGCAAGGCGGGCACATGATAAAAGCTCGAGCTGCGCGACTGAAGGTTGAGCGGAGAGTGGAGAAGTTTATGCGCTAATGTCGCGGGATTATGCGAGAAAGCGGCTCTAAGATAACCCAATCATGCAGAGCAAGTCGCTTCTGGAACTCTTATGCATAAAACAGGGGTTAAGACCACAGACGAGCAGACTTAGGTTGGTTCATGTATGGAGGTAGGTATGTATGTATTGTACATACCTATAAAAGGTACATTATATGCTAGACCGCCTCTCACAAGCAAGCGCGTGCATATTTTATCTCCATAACCAGCCACCGATATGATATTGTTGGATACGTATGTAGTAAATATCCTAAGTGAGTGAGTGAGTATGTACTTAATGTAGGAGGTAACTAACATATTTACGCGTAAGCGATGAGGACAGACAAAGTGTTTTGTATCATAGGAATGTAATTCATATAATTCGTATGATAGGGCTTATTCATAGTGGCGAGTTGAATATTTCATTTATACGCAGGGGGATCGTTGGGATTCAGGGTCAAATAGATTGTTTAAATAGCGGCTAATGCAGGGACGGGGCCATATTAGTAACCAATTCGTGCATCTAATTGGAGAAACGCGTCGAAGGTTGGTGTAACTCATTTAAACCGATGATACGGGATGGATGCAACCTAACGTGATAGGGGAATTGGTTCCTAGGTAGTTGGACCTTAGGGTAGCTAGGGGGTCTCCCCCTCTTTACCCTCCTTCCGCCTGTGAATGCCCTCCTTCTACTGTTAGACTTTTGATTGATATCATCGTGTTTCGTCTTGAATTGTTTCTCATTCGCTCATTATATCCCTAACTAACTAAAACTAATTCCCCTACCCAAACTAATAATAATCATAGTTAATTATAATCATAATCATAATAAGCCGTGAACAGATGTACACGATACACGATACACTACTCTCGTTTTAATCGTTTAGGCTATCCACTCCTTACTATTACATATTACATATTCCGTACCATCAGATGTTTTCTTTAGTTATATCCACAGGCAAACTGTCAGGCCCCTACCTAACAGCCTAGACAGCCAGACTAGCAATTACCATTGCATAAACTTGAAATATCCCCTTCTGGACCAAACCCGTCGTATTAAGTAACGATTTCGATCCTAGACAAACCGAAGAGGGAAACGTCTAAGCTGATTGTATCCCCGAATCCCTGAAGCGAGCCCACTCTGTCCCCGACTCCCCCTGTTTCCTTGGCGGGCGGCACCCCGAAGGCTGGTAGATGCTGTAGCTGCTTGAACGAATCCATTTTGAGTCTTAATGCGTGTAAAATACACCGCTGTTACCTCGATTTGCGCTAGACGCTCTCACCGTTTTTCGAAGCCGTCCGATCTGCTTTTGTGCTGTCCATCGTCGATGCACCGTCGTACGAGAGAGACTAAAGAAATTCTAAGGTCAAGGGGGGGAATCACAGCTTAAGCCTTCGAGACAAGAGACACTGGGAGTGTAGATCGGCCATTCCAGTCACCACCGACCACCTTCGTTTCGATCCGAGAATCTAACATGATGGAGGGGAATTCTGAGAACCGGCAGAAAAATGAAACTTCTCCGGTCGATACGGCGCCAAGTTCGGCAGACTCGAGCGCACTGGAATCACCCAAATCACCAGAATCACTCAAATCGCCCGTGGAGAAAGAAGAACGCAGAATGCCGGAACACGATTCGATGGTGACGGTTCGATTATCGGAGCCGCCTTCTCTATCGGTGAATACGGACCTTCCGTTGAACCCTTTACCTTTTAGAAAGAGCATCTGGGGACACGAATGTACGCCTACAAGTGCAACCGCGCCAAGTGTACCGCCTGTAATGGAAGTAGAGGAAGGAGACATGGAAGATGTTCAAGTGCATGATTTGAAATCACCCACTAGTCCTAAATCTTTGTCTCTGCCTATGCCTCTGCCTCAGTCAAAGGACATCCAAGCCACGACGACAACTATACAAGAAGAGAAGGAAATTATCGACGACGACGATCTCATGGAAGATTCCGATACAGAAGAGGTCAATTGGGACCAATTACAAAAGACTGAAGATGAAGAAGTCAAAGACCAAGATGATAATGTATGTTGCATGCCAAGTTGAAAAAAAAAAAAAACTGGTTGACTGGCCTGAGTAAGGCTAGATATACTACGACGATGACGATGACGATGATATTAACATGATCCTTCACATTTTAGTCTACAGCATTGCTATTGGCACGACTCGAACAAGAGAACAATAAAATTGCTACGAATCCAAAAAGCGTCAAAGTCAAGGTCGTCGAACAACCTCCAATCCGCCGGCCGAGACCACCATCCATGGCACAAATGCGGGACATGGTGAACGCACCCCCGTCCACAGCTTTACGATATTCCGTTCTCCCTCCCCCGCCGATGACTGATCTCGAATTCTACATGGCCCTCGTCAAAGACTATCAGCAGACCGCTGCCCGTCTTCCTACTTTACTGTCTAAGAAGATTCGAAAAGGAGTACCACCTCCGCTTCGAGGGGTTGTGTGGCAGAGTATGGCGAGCGCCCGCGATAGTTATCTCTTAGAGGAATTTGACAGGCTCTGCGGCGAGTCGAGTCCTTATGAAGGCATCATCGGCAAGGACCTGGGTAGAAGCTTTCCTGGCGTGGATATGTTCCGAGACCCAGACGGCGACGGTCAGCGAATGCTCGGAAGGGTTCTCAAATGCTTTAGTCTCTACGATACAAAGATTGGATACTGTCAAGGACTTGCTTTCCTAGTTGGCCCTTTGCTGATGCACATGCCGGATAGTCAAGCTTTCTGCGTCTTAGTCCGGTAAGTACCTCTTCACCTATACTACATGCCCATTCCGTACTTGAGAAATGACTTGGCTAATTAATATGTTTTGAAAATAGGCTGATGGAATATTATGACCTACGATCTTGTTTCTTACCCGACTTGTCGGGTCTACACGTCCGCATCTATCAGTTCCGAGAGCTACTCAAACAGCATTTACCCACATTATCGAACCACCTAGAGGATCTTCAAGTTGATCCAGCCTATGTTTCACAGTGGTTCCTCTCATTTTTTGCGGTAACATGCCCCTTGCCAATGCTGTTTCGGATCTACGATGTTATATTTGCCGAAGGCGCATCGGAAACGATCATGCGGGTAGCCCTGTCGCTTATGCGAAAGAACAAGAGCCGCATCTTGGCCTGTACCGAGATGGAGGATGTCATGCAGCTCCTATTATCTCGTGGGTTGTGGGACTGCTATCATTACAATGCTGATGAGTTTGTCGATGATTTCGTTAGTTTATCTGGGGTCGTATCGAGAGAGAAATTAGCCCAACTTGAACAGGGGTATCGCGAGGAAAAGATCGCCAGTGCCAATGCCGCGCGAACGGCCGATGTTACCACAGCTGCCTCTCGCTTTTTGGGTCGTTTATGGGCTACGAGCATCTCCTCCCCGAAATCTGGAACTCTTTCTCCAGGGTTTTCCGCACCTTTGAGACCCTTGAGTATGTTGCGACGAAGTGCATCGAAGCAGAGCCTAGCCTCGACATTGAATTCAATGGAAGCCAGTTCTTCTAGCGTCCTTAGTTCGACATCAACCGACGCTACTACCATTTCTCGCGATTCCACTTCTAATGCTGACGACTCGTCAATTCGTGAATCAACACCAGTCGTCGCAAAACAGCAATCCAGTCGAAATGCCGCCGACAGGAATCTACATACTCAGATCGAAGATCTCCTTACCGCCCTTAGCGAACTGCAACGAAACCATGCGCTATTAGCCACGCAGCTTCAACAAGAAAGGGAAGAAAGGGATGAGGACAAGAAGGCTGTAAAGTCATTGCTGGATGGATTGAAGAAAGACAAGGCCAACAACGAGGCGGCCGAGACTACAGAGGATAATAAGGATGTCGATAACAAAACAGAAGATGAAAGTGATGGAGGAGAGACACCTGCCCAGAATCAACTGTCTCTATTACTAGAAGCAGTTGAGGGTCGCTTTTGCAATGAAGGCCGCGAGCGCTCCGAGTCGTCAGTACTAACTAAGGCACAACTCCGTGAGGAACTATCTAGGGCCAAGGATAACCTTAAAATCGAGATGTCTAAATCTCTAGAATTCAATCGGCGCATTGAAGAACTTGGACAGGAGGCGAACACGCTACGAGAACAACTTCGAGAAAGTCACGCTCATGTTCGAAATCTCCACCAGGACAAGCAACGTCTCGAGAGACAGATCCATACTATGCGTGTGCGAGCTTCATCTGAGACGGTCGGGCCAGAGTCCGGAGGGTGGTTCTCGTCGGGATCTAACCTGAGTGCTAACAGCGCCACCGGTGGCGGGGCTGGCCGCGGTCTCCGGGAGTTCAAGCTCGGACGTAGCAAGTCAACACCCAACTCGCAGTTGGCCTTTGGTCAGCGTTCCGGATCGTTAGTGAGGACGCAAACGGAGCCACTCGTGTCGAGTGAACATGATGCAATCCTTCTAGAGTTGGTACAAGCTAAAACTGCTGAAGCGGTGGCTCGTCAAGAAGCCGACGAGTACAAGCAGAAGTTTGAAAGCCTACGGAAGGCCTACGGGCTTGGTCCGGCCGATTCTGCCGCGCCAACAGTGACCTCGACTGCAATGGAGATGATTGGGCGGTTCACAGCTACAGTGTCAGAAGCAGGCAACGGTACTAAGAGTGCTCCTGCCGCCACACCGACACCGACACCTGCCACTAATAGTGGTAGTTTCTGGGGCTGGCGACGATAATGATCGTCCAGCATTTGATAGTGGGAGACTGGGGGTGGAACAAACAAACAGCGCATGGCATTGCGCGGTGGGTGGTTGATGGTGGATGTCTTGGGCTTAGCTCTTCTATTCTTATTAGAAGCAAATATCATAGGGAAGGGTGGAGGAAGAATATGCATTTTCTATGTCGACTCATCAGGACAGACTACATCTGTAGGGCGGCGGAACCATTATGTTTATCTCAGTTATCATAATTACCTAGGTACTTATCCCGGCCCGGTGTATATAGACGGGGGTTGGCTGGGCGGCTTTTTCTTTTGCTATTCGACATTTGCCTAGCTTGAGAAGGTATACGCGAGCTTAGAATACCTAGACCGCGCAGAGCCGAAGAGCGGCAGCTTGGAAAGGCATGTTGCGGATTGCTTTTGCTTTTGCTTTTGCTTTATGGCTAGCAGCAAGAAGAGTATCATGATATCCAAAATATAGCATTGCTTACCTGTCGCCCTTGGGACTTATAAGTTTTGAGTGAGCCTTTAACATAGTACACGGGCAGTACGCATAGTACTCGGGTTATTAGATGTTGCGTTCGAACATTCGAACATACCCTAGCTGACCTAGCAGCCTAGGTATGTAGGTTAATGTATTATGCATTTAGATCTTGCTAGCTTCTTGACTACGGCACGATGATATCCACTGCATGTATGTAGGTCAAGACAGCCTAGGCCCTAGATACATAGGCGGGCCGCGCTAGGCCACCGTGTTTACCATAGTGATGACGAGGTGGTGGTAAGCATGATCTAAAGGGCCATGATGATGAGTGCTCATGGTAGAATGCGTCATTCGGGATCCATCACGCTTTGAGGTATGTAGGATGTCAAGATGTCAGGATGTGTCGGACGGGTATCGTTCTCTCTATATGTATAATATCTATGTATGTATGTAGGTATGTAGAAGATCTGGGCCCATGGCATGGAACGGGAGGTGGTCGTGTGCTTTCTTAGCGGATAATCACATGCAAGGTTTTTGACTATGTACAGATGGTGGAGGTGACGACATGGGTGGCTTTGGCCTCTGGGTTTCCCGAACCGAAGGATGTTTCGGATTAGAAATGAGTTGCACGAGATACGGTAGAACAATGCGACGGTTTCTTTTTTTTTTTTCTTTTTCTTTTATGGATTAGTTGCTTGTTTGTTATGTATAATAATGTCTGATAGGAGTTGGAGTCGGACTTATTTAGATATTTAACATGCATTCGAGATAAGACATATATGGTAGTACTTGTGTTTGACAATTCTAAATTCGTGACTTGACGGGACGGAAGCATGACGTTTGACGGGATTGCAAAGGACATCACATTGAAACTAGGGACTTCGGGGTACGTCTTCCTGCTGCAACTAAACGGGTAGCGCACATGTACAAATGTTTGTACCTATCTAAGTATATACACTACATAGAGGAGGAACATTCAAGAAGCACGCGAGTTCCCCTTATGTAGATGTGGCTGTCACTGTAGCACCTGCTCGTACATGGAATACATAGAGTGGTTCGGCGGGTGGTTTTAGGTGGCGGTTTTGTTTGGTCGGTGCTTGTCGGTCAGGCAGGTGCATCATGCTGTCCCTGGCGTGGCGTCATAACGACCAGCGCACTAGCCACATTTTGCAAGTATTGTAAAGCAGCTCCGCTGGGCTAGTCTTGATGAAATCACTCCTTTTATTTGCCTGGCCTTTGCTTCAACCAGATCGCTCAATCCCACTAACCTCCCCTACCTACCAATAAACCTGAAATTCTTCCCGCACCAAACAAGCACCAGGAAAAAAGTCCCAGAGACTTTCTTATCTCTTTCTCTGTTGCTTTCAACCTCTCTTTTTTTTACCTTCTTACCTTAAACTTACCAAACAACAACAACAACAACAACACAAATACATAAAACCATCGCCGACAGACCTTAAGAACAGGTACGTGATTTGCTTCGCTTCCCTTCCCTTTGACACTCGGACCCAAGTAACATTGGAGCTCATCCACAATTCTTGGAACAGATAGGGCATCCGGCATTCCGAATAGAACAACACATCTAACACATCTGATCTTCTTTAGCTACGATAACAGAATAGCAATTTGTATCACCAAGATCATTCATCATGGCCTCCAATGATCCTACTGCCAATGGCAGCTCTATTGACTCTTTGAAAGGCAGTAAGGTAAAGTCTATCCAATCCAAACATTATTCTTTTTCCCCCGCGTTCCGGAGAACACCTAGCTAACTGGTTTTACCGTGTACAGTATCTTACAACAGTTATCTTCCTTCCTCGGCTCCGTCGGCCCCGTCGGTCCGTTTATAACATAGCAGCTAATGCCTATTGACGTAGATGCTACAGCTGCCTACAACCAGATCGCAAGCGGTATATAAATTATTATCTCTAATTTCTATACATATTTACTTGAAGAATTATCATGGCTGATAATGACATCTTAGGCCCCGTGGCCCAGAACGTCAAGGACCAGACTGCAAAGACATCTGCCGAGTTTTCCAACCTAGCCAATGCCCGGCAAACACCTCCCCAGACCGCTGCTACCGGCCAACCTTTGACCCATTATCATTCGTTCTTCTCGGAGCTCTTGTCATGGAACAACCCTCGTAAGTTCTAGACCGCCCTCTTCTTATCAGGCCATCATACTGATAAGCCATCATAGGAGCTTCTGCCATCGCCTACGCTTCTATCGTCTCGGCCATCTTCGTGGCTAGATACCTCGACGTCATCCGATACACCTTCAAGCTCTCGTACATGGCCTTGGCTGTTACTATCCTTGCTGAAGTCGCCGGAAAAGCCGTCCTTGGCAACGGTCTTACTACCCAGTTCCGACCCCGCAAGTATTACACCATCCCCCGAGAGACGCTTGACGCCTTGATCGGCGACGCCCACGAACTCCTTAACTTCTTCGTTATTGAGGCTCAGCGAATCCTGTTTGCCGAGAATGTCACCGCCTCAGTTGTGGTATGTATCTCCTATATAAGCGGCATTTGCTATACTTTAGTACATACGATTAACAGTACGGTGGCAGGCTGCTATTGGAGCATTCCTTTCCTACTACTTGGTTAAGATTGTCCCTTACTGGGGTCTTGCCTTGATCTCCACTACGCTCCTGTTCTTCGTGCCTCTAGTCTACGCGACTAACCAGGAACTCATTGATCACTACCTTAAGCAGGCCTCTGATGTGATTAACAGCCAAACCGAGCAGCTACGTGAAGTTGCCAGCAAGCACACTTCCCAGGCGACCGAGCTCACCAAGCAATACGTGGGTGACTACACTGCCAAGGCCCAGCAAATTCTCCATGGCCAAACTAAGGCTGCTCCTCAGACCAACCTGAAGGACTCTGACTTCCCTAAGGCCCCTAAGGAGACCTTCCAGAACAAGCAGGAGGAATCTTCTGAGGAGGAATCCGAGGATGAGCAGGTGCCTCTGGTCTCTGCTTAGAGCTCGTCTAAGCAGCGTGGCCAACGACGGACCCCTTCCTAGATACATAATATTGTTACCCACCTCTATTTTTAAGATCCGATTGGCACGGCACGGCGATTTGATGTGACTCATGGCATAGAAAGATATGAGACATTGAGGAATTTTTCCAAAGCTTCCTGGGTGGGGGCCAATTAGTTTTTTTTCGCCTACGACTTTCCTTGACAATGGCAATGGGCCTCTCTGGGCGGGATTTGGTTCTGACGCGGGGCTAACGGTTTAATTTACCTAAACACCTCATCTCTCTTTTCGACCTTGGCAATCTCCTCTCGCGATGACTAGCGTCCTAGTCTACCGATAAGTCGATACCTCATTCAACCAGACATGCAGACAGAGCGAAGCCTTGAACTTGAACTATCATAGGCGTTGGAGTGGTGTTGTTGATGGACGGTGGATGGCGATGTAAGAATGAAAGAAATGAGAACGAAACGGTCGAGAGAAGCAATATGCGGTTCAGTTAAGGCGGGCGATAGGTATTTTCAGTGGTCAGTCGGTAGGGTGAGTGGATGGATGGATGGACGGACGGATGAAACGAAACGAGAATGGCTTTTGCAGTAGCAGTAGTACCATCGATGAATGTTGTTTATTTTAGTTACATACGTGAGTGGCGGGGATCGCGATGGTATGAATGAGAACAGTCCAGTGCAGACAGAGAGGAGAGGAGAGGTGCGGTGCGGTGCGGTGATCCTTGAGCTTAGTAAGATAGTAATTTCGACTATTTCCCTTTTATTCTTGAGGAGTTTGTTGGTTGTGATATGTCTAGGTTATGTGTTATGGGCTAACCTAGGTAAGTGGTGTTTATATGATGTATGCGATACGTTGGTGCTTGATTCTTCGGCATGGTATCGACCTTTGATGTATGAGATACTTGAGACTTCCTAACCTAGCAGCATTTACTTTCTCACTTCCTTTCGCTCGTGTAGATGAACCCTTATGGTATATATAGATAGGTAGGTACCTAATACTAAGCGTTTGTTATATCTGTGAGTTGTGAGCTCAAGGCCCCCTACCTACACTACACAAGTTGTGGCTCGTCTGATAAACCCACCCACTCACCTACGTGTCTACGAAGTATACTCCTGAATTATTAATTACGATCTTACATTAGGTAGATATTTGCAGACCCAACCACGGGAAGAAAATGATATATGTAATAAATGGATGGTATTTGCAATTTCTTTAATATACTAAAGGAAGCTACTTTGAGTACACCTGAAGAAACTGGAATGGGGATTTGCATCGATATCAGGGAAAGGCAGGCAGCGATATTTGTAAGGAATAGATAAGAATGGTATTGCTAATTTTCATTTTGAAATGTGTAAAAGGGCATCTTTACTACACAACATATCACTCTTTAAAACTCATTTTCGTAAATCATTCTGTTAAGATGCCGTTCCTATTTATTAGTGCACATATACATAAATGAGATACTGTATGTATATCAGGAAAGGTACACCAATAAAGTCAGCAATTAGCGACCAAGTCAGATAAACCACCAACGCCTCGTGATCCATCGTCACCCTTAGCCTCGTCCCTCTCCCCGACAAGAAACCATTCCCGCCTAGTTAATCACAAAAAAGTTTATGATACCACACCACGCCGGCTTCGTTCCTCATCGATACCACGATGAAAATAATTAGGATTGTCACTTATGAAAAGATGGCCGTATTATAACTGATTTTCGTTGAGAGTGACAGCTGTGATTCACAAGCGTGCGTGAAGCTAGTTATTATGAGAATCACTCGCTGTCGTCCATGGCGAATGCATCACTTGGCTCATCGTCGTCATCGTCATCATCAGGCAGCTGTAAGCTGTCTTCGTCTTCATCATCGTCATCATCAATGATATAGACAGGCTTTGACTTGGTTGCTGCAGCTCGACCAGGCCGACCACGAGCCGCGGGCTTCGGCGGGGGAGAGTCAGGATCAGCCATCTCGACTTCATCGTCTTCATCATCGTCCATGTCGAAAGCATCCTTCTTCGGCTTCCCCTTCTCTTTCTTGGCAGCATAGGCCTTCGCTGCTGGTGACAAGTGCGCAGCCTTGGACGCTGGCGCTTTCTTCACAGGCGCAGCTTCCTTAGACTTGTTCTTCGTTCCAGCAGGTCGACCACGTGCTTTAACCGCCGGCTCGCTGGTGCTCGCAGCGGCAGTTGTTGGTTTGGACCGAGGCTTGAGCTTAGGCTCCTCTTTTGAAGGCTTTGCCTTGCTCAGAGCTTTGGAGACAGGTGGTAAATCGTCGTCGGAGAGGAAACTGTCTAACTCATTCCCACGGTTACTCTTGTGAGGCGATGGTTTAGCCAGCATCTCATAGTTGGTGTCATCATGATCGTCTAGGTCCAAGACCTTCGAAGGCTTGCTCTTAATCTTTAACCCTAACCCAGTGCTGTTACCGCTGCTGCTATCCGGGCGCGACATGGAAAACAAACTAAGTCGGCCAGTCTTGTTCTCGGATGCACTGGTATTGCCGTTCGTAATACCCTTGACCAAATCACCGACATCACCAAGCATCTTGTCGTCATCGCTTTCTGATTCATCGTCATCATCTACGATAAACCTCTTGGCTTTCGAAGCGGCGGTACGTTTGGTCCGAGGTGCCGGTTGGATCTCTTGAATCTCTATATCCGAGTCTTGAGTACTTGCTTTCTCCTTCTTCGCTGGATTCTTTAGCTTAGCAAAGTCATCGTCCGAGAACGGATCCGAATCCGACTCTGCTCCACCACCGCTTGTGGTGTCCTTCTTGGCGCCACCATTGAACATAGCCGCAAAACGTTGGACAGACTTTTCTTTGGGCGGTTCTTTTGGTTTGGCTGCAGCTTTAGGACCCGGCTTCGACTTTGCTACCGGAGCCCAGTCGTCTTCATCGTTCTTTACCTTGCGACCCCGTCCACCAGCGCCACCAGCACCGATCTTCTTTGATGTGCGGCGGCCCTTTCTGCGGATACCAGTAGCAATCTCCTGCTCGAGGCGCATTTGGGTTTCCCACACTTCTTCGAAGTCATCCAAGTCTTTACACCAGAGATCCTTCTCACTGAGGGCATCAAGTGCATCTCGCTCGGCTTTCTTCTTGGTAATCTGGTCTTTGAGACGGTCGAGCCGCTCTTGGGTAAATGACCAGATCGCCATCTGTAAATAGTTAGAAACTACGTTTGCTTAGGACAACCATATAAACGTACCGAAAGAAGGTAATCATAGTCATTTGCGGAGGTATCCGTGCTGTCTTCAACCGCTTCATCTTCGTCGTTGTTGTTCTCCTCCTCCTCTTCTTCCTCCGTCTTGGTCTTCTTGGAATCTTGTCCTTTAGGGAAAGCCTCGTATTTTCGCTCACGAAGCTCCTCAACGATGACCTGCTTCTTTTTGCGGGATACCACGAGCTTACCATCCATTATCTCTTGTATGAATCTGGCCTGGTTTTTCAACTTGCGGTAGTCTGCATCGTAAACGCCGAGCCAGTGCATCTAAATAAAATTAGTACAATACTCGAAAAGCCTTCATGTCATCAACTTACCTTTCGCAAAGTGTACATATTCAATCGGTAGTGGTAGAACTCCTCGAGAATATCTTCCACTTTGTCGTACTTGCGGATCATGCCACGAGTGTCGAATGCGACCAAATTAGACGTTGCGACCTGCTTAACCAACTTGAACTTCTCGAGGAGACCCTCCTGTAAGGCTTGGTTCATATGCTTCTCATCCAACTGAATCTCAAAATGGACAGTGTTGTGGTCGTTGAATTCCTTGTAGTCCTTGATGAACGAAGGAGCCTTTTCACCTCGGATTATTTCCTCTAGCTTCGCCTTGAAATCATCCGTCCACATGCGGATGGGTAGTTCTGTGACCATGACCTCATTCGGTCTCTTCTCGTCTACGCTCACAATACCGTTGAACTGATATCGATGGGACTCGGCCTGTTGTGCGGTGCCCTTCCAACCTCTGAACCAGGGGATCATTGTCTCAAAGGGCTTTTCGTCTTCGCCATCCATACGCCCCATACGCCGCTTTAGATTTCTAATAATATCTAGAGGGTGATAGTTCGGGATTGACGTACTCCAACCAGTACCGATACCATCCGCGCCGTTTACCAAGATCATAGGGATAACAGGTGCATAGACCTTCGGTTCGATTCTCTTCCCGTCTTCGACTTGATGCTCTAGTTTAGGTTCGTCCAGAGGCGAGAATATGCGGCGGGCAAATGGAGAGAGACGAGTATGGATATAACGAGGGCTGGCAGCATCGGAACCACCCTGAAGTCGCGAACCAAAGTTACCACTGGGCTCGAGATAGTTAACATTGTTGGAGCCGACGAAGTTTTGTGCAAGGCCTATGATCGTCTGGTGCAAGGATATTTCACCGTGGTGGTATGACGTTTGTTCGGACACATAACCAGCCAACTCGACGACCTTCTTATCTTTGGTTAGATTTCGTTTCAGACAAGCGTAGATGACCTTCCGCTGGCCAGGTTTTAGGCCATCGATAACTGAGGGGATAGATCGCATGTTGTCAGCCATACTGAATAGTATTAGCTCCTTATTAACGAAGTCGTCGTATGTGACCTGCTTGATAGCGTGGTCGAGGTAGGTACCCGGTACGAAGTTACCGAGCCATTCTTTACGGGCATCCGCCTTCTTCTTGGAGAAAGCGAGCTCGATTAGCTCGGCTTCTTGAGGGCGCATCACATCGAACGTCTTCAAATGGGTATCAAGATCTTGGAAATAGACCTGGGCGTCATTGTTGTCACTGGTACCCAAACCCTTGTAGTACTTCGACTCCCATCGTTTCAATTCATTCTTGTGCTGTTCCTTCCATTCCTCGTACTGAGGTTGGGTGAAGAACGATTTTAACCTCAAGGGTTTCTTGGGATTTGGTCCTTGCCAGACCTTCACGATAGGCGTGATGAATTCTTGGAAAAACCCGGGAATCTTGAGGAGGGAGGGATATTGAACTTGAAGGAAATTGATAAGAAGACCTTTGATATGGCTACCATCGTGATCCTGATCGGCCATGATCATCAGATGCCCATATCGAAGAGATTTGGTATCGGTATAAACCGTTTTGTGCTTCAGCCCGAGGAACTGTTTGATGTTTTGAATTTCTTGGTTCTTCATGATCTGGTCGATTGAAGCGTCACGAACGTTCAGCATCTTGCCTCGAAGGGGGAAAACACCAATCTTATCGGGATCCAGAATGGCACGGCCAGCCACAGCTAAACTTTTGGCGGAATCACCTTCGGTCAAGATCAGAGTACATTGCCAACCATTCTTGGTGCCTGCCAAGTTGGCGTCGACTAGTTTGGCGTTACTAATTCTTGATCGTTTGCTGCCGTCACTCTTGGCAAGTAGCTTATCAGCTTTGGCTTCCGCAAATTGGATAATGTTGTTAATTGCATCCGTCTGGCTGATCTTCTTGAGGAACCCTTCGGTTAGAGGGCATTTGCTTCCAAACTGGCTGAGCTTAGTCGTCATTTGCTCTTTAGTCTGCGAAGTAAAGGCAGGATTGGTAATCAGACAGTTGACGAAGATGAAGATGTGGTTACGGATATGATTGGCTTTCAGCGCATGCCCCTTCTTTTTCTTGTTCAACGTCTTCAGGAGCGAGTCGCAGATTTGGTCAGCAATGTAATTGACATGAGTACCACCAGAGGTAGTAGCAATAGAGTTCACAAACGAGACCTGCTGGAAAGAACCGTCTGAGACGGCAAAGGCGATCTCCCACCGAGCATGGGCCTTGTTGTCCTCAAGGATGACCGTAGCGGTAGGTTCGGTACCCTCTTCGGCACCTCGCTCATGAGCAATGGCTTTTGCGTACATTTCGCAGTACTTCTTGAAGTCTAGCTTGATCTGGGTGTCGTTGAGGTAGACTTTGATACCGCGCACCGTACCAGCCATATCGTAAACTCGACGGTAAAGCAACGACTCGAGATCATCGTCGATGCCCTCAGGCATACCAAACCTATTCCAATCCGGTTTGAAGCTGACACGAACAAAGTCGCTAGATTTGCTGCTTGTTATCTTTGCCTTGTCCATCTTGCCCATGTTGTCCCTCCACGTCTGCTTGTAGCGTTTTCCATTCTTAGAGTCTTGACACTCCAGAGTGAACTCTGTACTGAAGACGTTGCAAAGCTTGGCACCGTAACCGTTTCGACCACCTACGGTCTTTTTCTCGTCGTCATCAAAGTTGGAACCGGCAAGAAGATGTCCAAAAACCAGTTCCGGAATATAAACCTTCTCCTTATCGTGGATCTCTACCGGAATACCTTTTCCGTTATTCTCGACTATGATCTGACCTTCTTCACGATTGATCGTCACCTTCATGTATGTCATGCTTGGGTCTCGCTGTTTGTTGTCTGCAGCGTTGACGAGAATTTCGTCAAATATTTTGTAAAGACCGGGCACGAAGCCAACCTTGGGTCGTAGTTCCATCTGGTTAGTCTCCTTATTGAACACCCACATCTGCTGCTCAGTACGTTCAACAGAGCCGATGTATGTGTCAGGTCGCTTGATAATGTGCTCGAGTTGTGTCAACTTTTGGTACGTCTCCGTAGCCGTCTTCTTCTTGGCTGGCTTCGGGTCATCGAGCACCATGCTATCGTTCTCGATCTCGCCTAAGGGTGGACCACTCGACTTCTTGGTGGCGGTTGCCTTTTTCTGCTTCTTCGCACTCGGGGGCGTATTGGAGAAGCCCGAGACATCGTCATCATCGCCGCCGTCGTCGTCGCTATCAGGCTTTGAGCGTTTCTTAGGAGCAGTCTTAGTCGCCTTTAGGGTTGTCTGAACCATTTTTTTTGATGCAGCCTTGGCTGCAGGTTTTGCTGCTGCCTTCTTTGCAGGAGCCTTAGCCTTAGGTTTCTGTAGGAGCGCAAGGTTAGCACTGCACAGGTAGGGATAAAAAAGTGAGTATGTTGTTTAGATTAAGAAAAAAATCCAAGACAAGGATATTGTTTCCATACCGGCTCTGGGGAGAAGCCATCTGACTCGTTATCGAAGTCGTCAAAGGCCGAGTCCTCCATAATGTCGGAGTCCATGATTGATGTGTTTGGTGTGATACGTTCACACGCGACGCAAATGACGTGAAGAAGGATAGGGATTTACCCAACGTCGTTGAATTAAAAACTGGTCGCCGCAATTGACCAGAACTGCGCAAGAATTTCATAAAAAAAAAGAAAGTTAGGGGCCAATATCACGAAAAAGCCAGTTGTTTTGAAATTTCTCCTTTTGTGATGAGAGAGAGAGGGGGGGTTGTTACAGGGAAAGCAGCCTCGTAGCTCATTGTCGTGTTATTGCACGTAAACAATTTATTTTCATTTGATAACTAGGAGTCGCGTCCCTGGAAGAAGTGGGGCTCTGGTTACAGGCTAGCGATACTTAGTGTTATATTGTATAGAGTAATACCGGAGCACCGTTGAAAAATGGCAAGAGGTTGACCAAAACGCGTCCAGCATGGCTAAACGTCGGCAAGAGGTAGCAAACATTTGCACTCACGAGCCACACCAAAACCAGCCACGGATGATACCTGACAGTCATCCATGGACGTACCTAAGGTACTTAGGTACATGTAGATGGGTTGACCTTTCATCAATCACATTTCCGTACCAGCTTGCCAACTTCGTGAAGATGTATTCAACGATAGTACTTCCCCCGGTCAGGGCGATCTACTGGGCACATTCAGATATCAGAGCACCTCATAATGAATTACTACTATTGCTATTATTAGAAGATATCTAGTATTTATATAAAATCCCAACCGGATGCCCATCGCTCGTCTACTACGTATTAGTTTCGTCAAAGCAAATTTCAACCACCAAGAGCCTATGGAACGTTGATGATGATAGGTACCTATCTACATTTACGACCTCATTAACTAGCATACAAAGCTAGAGGCGTCTGCCCACGTTAAGGCCGGGTGATATCTTCCCTACCCGGCTACCCTCCTCGTCCTACCAGAGCACATGGCCCATCATCCAAGAGGGTCTTATGAAGGGAAGAAGCACGGCAAGCAATTGGTGCGTAATTCTCCGCCGTGCATGCGGTCGTGTGATTCCACTTAGCAATGTTTCCCAAAATGTAACGAGACGTAAATTTCCCGAAGTCGAACTGTACGTCCCCGTAGCTTTTTTGTTCGCAAAGTCGCACCGCGCATGAAGAATCGCGGAGCAATTCTCCTTGCCCATCCTACGCCGTACCACGCCAGACAGCATGGCAATCATCGCCTGAATCCTTCTATCTTACCCGAACCGGCCTTGGTGAGCCTCAAGCTTACCCCCTTTGGGAAGTACAGGAGGCGAGAAATCCGACGAGGCAGGATCGTTAATGTAGTCTATGCCATCTGCCTTCTTTGCCGCCGGTTCCATCTTCCGCGTCTATTCAAAGTCTCTTATAATGGTAGCCAGGATACCCTTTCCACGTTCCCGTCTACCGGAACCGGTGGGGCACTCCAGCCCTGACATGGCTTTTCAACAGTACAAGAACATCGCAAGAGTGAAATATAGCAGACATGGAGTTTTATCTTCGCTGGGTAGGTATCTGTTATACCGTTGCTTGTCCTTGCTTAATACCACTACTCCTAAGTATTTGACACTGTATACTATCCCTCCCCTTACTATACCTGTTTGTTAGATTCGCATTTGCGATCATGCCATGCAATCTGCTTGGTACTGTATAGCCTGGTAGCATATCGGAAAGCCGCAGGTTCTAGTGTAGTCAGAACCACAACTTGTTGAGAGACAGGTCCAGGGGGGGCTATGACTCGAGCCTTAGGTGTCCCACGAAAGTAGCCTACCGACGGCTCAGCTTACTACTTACTACTGGGCTTCCGGGCGTGCTTGTAAGGTGAACAGGTAATTACCAGCCAGTCTAGTTAGTCTATGATGGCGGAATCAAATGAAGAGGGGTACCCAAACTAATACTCTCGTCAAGTTGTCCAGGTGCGCCGTAATCATTTTTCCAAGTCCATTTATTCAACTAAGGTGTCCCTTTTGCGAAAGCTTGTCACATGTAGTCAAGTTACGCAAGAACTCCTTACAACCAATGTGTTAATCTCTATTCAATAGACTATTGATGACACGGTCCATCTATACCTCGATGGGGCAATATTGATACGGGATCCGCCTCTGTGTTGCCCTGGGAAATATTATTACCCGTAGACGGCCCTGACTCTCGTAGAAAGCATAAGCTATATGTGGTGACAGCTGCAATCTCCGCATTCACGACACCCATTGCCGACGGGAAGCCCCTTGTGGTGCTTCAGTTGCTTCTCGAAAATACTCAGGGAATTCTTTCAACCGAGAGAAAGAGTCCTTACCTACGTGGTCCCCGGATAGGCACAGAGCTCTCCACCAAGTGAGTCGCCTTTGCGGCGGTCAAGCCCAAGACTTCTTCTCGCTCTCTGTCTTAAATAGAAGGACAGCAAAGAATGGCGTGGGTGATATGTTCCGCCGTGACATCCTAGGCCTACCCTCCTACAGGATGGGAGGCACTGGGTACACGTGTGTCGAGTCTAGCAATCGTTGTCTAGGGCTCAATATGCTTATCACTGGCCTTTCTTTGTTCTACCCTCTTGAGAAACCGCCTAGCCCTAGTAACTTGGACGGCACTATCTGCAGCTTCCCGTGAGGTTGCTTTCTGTCAAAACTCCCATATGGATTCCCAAACAAGCCTGGTCCTTGTTTGGGGTCTCTGTGCTGAAGTATTTGCTGTGTCAAACTCATTTGCTGTCTTTAGCTACAGGTCCGATGCGTCATGCGGTCGCCTGTGGTCGCCCCTTTTGGGCCGGAGTCAGAACTGGTGAGATGTATTGAAACCTACCTTACCTCGATGCTGTCCTATAATCCACGGATCGACGTGATACATCTGGTATCGCCTGGGACTATCTCGTCGGCAAGGCTCCGGAATCGAACGCATCTCTCTCTCTGTTTCTCTAGTAATCTGAGTTCTCTGCCTCCGAAACTAATCACCTACGACGCTGCCCTGCCGGTTGGCGGTTTCCTGTCGTCCCCATTTTAATCGTCCCCGATCCGCCCTCGTTGATATACGTACAAGGTAACTTAGAAACTGCTTCGCTCGTCCCCCTCCCTCGCGTGGCCTACCTCTCGTCATCTCTCACTTTGGTGGCTTTAACCTCGATCTTCTAAGGGGCGGTGGGTATACACAAACGAGCTCCTCTGCTCTCACAGGTCGATTCCAAGACATCTTCAACAAAGAACGCTGCACCGAATACCAAGATCACCAAGGCAGCACCGGACACCGCTCAAGTGCTCTGCAGAGAGCTGCATGACTGGGTACAGTCAAGAAAGGAAGCAATCTCGGTCCCCTTGTACCAGCATGGGCTCGCCGTCTCGCGAGGGCGTGCTTCAATAGTTCGTCTGTTTGCCAAGTTCAAAAAGGACTTGGTTTCCTCTCTCCTTTCTGACTTGCCGCTGCAAGCACTGTCTGTCTTGAGTCTCCTTACCTAGTTCTTCCCACGGACCTTTTCGTAGATAGCCATCCACAACTTTGCTTGCATCAGTACTCTATCCGTATTCGAGACATCTTGTCCCCACTGCTTCTCACCGCCATGCTGTCACTGGCATCTCTTCTTAATCCCGCCCCTCCAGGGCCATCAATCAACAGGTTTCCTCCAAGCCCAGCCTCGTCGTCATCCCCAACGGCTTCTCTCCCAGACGAGCCGGGTCTTTTAGATGTTCACAGAATGGCCAAGCAGAAGATTCCGAAGACTGCGGCTCTTTTGCCTACGAGTAGACCCAAAGGAGCTGTCAATTTTCCCCCGTTCGAGAATCTAGACGAGGCTTCGCTCCGCCAAGTCCGGCAATTTCGCGTCCGTTTCTTCGGGAACATACAGGACCATTCCCGGCACATCCCCTACAACAGCGGGAAGAAGGATTTCTTCCAGAAGACAGGCCGAGAAAGCTTCGAAGGTAAAGAGCCAGAATAATAACAAAACAAAAAGCATAACCCCCCGAGATGCGGTAATCGATTTGTTGACCCGAACGTAGTTTTCCAGTATAGTTTCAAAGTGCCCGGGGACGAGACCGAATATACCGTCATGTGGGATTACAATGTCGGCCTCGTCCGCATGACCCCTTTCTTTAAGTGCTGTAAATACCCCAAGGTTAGCTCGCCCCCGAATTCAACGGACAAGGAACTCGTCTTAAACTGAGAGCTAATCAAAATCGTAGACGACACCGGCCAAGATGCTGAACTTAAACCCCGGGCTCAAGGACATAACACACAGCATCACGGGGGGCTCTATCATGGCCCAAGGTACGTGCTATACATAAAATGCCCCTCGTCTAAACATAGGCTTACATTTCTTCCATCGAAAAAGGCTACTGGATGCCATACTACTGTGCCAAAGCCGTATGCGCAACCTTCTGCCACAATATCGCAGGGGCCCTGATACCCATTTTCGGCCCTGACTTCCCCTCCCGCTGCACGCCTTCGGAAGCGCCAGAGTACAGCCGCATGATCATCGATCCAGCTACCGTAGCCCAATCTACCAGAGAAGCAGAGCATTTCCGCAGAATATGTAGCAACTCGGCCGCCTCTGCTAGCAATAACGGCCTAGCCAGCCCGGCCCAGGATCGACGGCCTTTATTCCGGAATCCTTACGACGAAGTCAGACACAGCCACAACCACTCATACTATCGCCGCCGTCCGATCCAGAAGGCCCTTGCAACCCCTAGTAGCCCGTATACTACGGACCCCGACAGCGACACATCTCCTATAGCCTCGGAGCCCGGCCACCGCAATCGCTACCCATACTCCCCCATCCAGCCGCCGCCGCCGCCGCCGCCATCAGTAGTAGCAGCCCCATCTCTCCGACCCACGAGCAGCGGATGGACGCCCGCCAACGTCATATCACCACGGCACTACGCCCCATCCGGCCCAAGCCCCTGGCTCAGCGTCGTCCCGCGCTTCACCACGGAGACGCATATCCCGCCATACCTCCTATCACCTCGGACCTCGCATCCCCATCCCCATCCCCATCCCCATCCCCATCCGCAGCCATGGCGGGGCAGCAGCAAGCGACCAGCCGAGCACGTGGAGGCCGAGTACGAGACCCACAGCAATACCCCGACCAAGATAGCTACGACGGGGGCGAATAAGACCGCGGCAGAGAAGCCCCGCAACAACGGCAGGATAAAACATGCATCGCCGAGCGACTCCCCGGTGGTAGGAGGTGCGGACAAGAACGCAGCGCTGCTCCTGATGAACCTTAGCGTCGGGGACTCGCGAGGAATTAAGGGCGGCGGTAGCAGCACGACGACATCGACATCGGGCACGAGTTCGCCGCGCGACGGGTCGTATCCGCGGGTTAAGAGGGTGAGGTCGAATTCGATGTAGTTAGGTACCTAGGTCCTAGGGAGGAAAGCAAGACAACCAACTACTAGCTAGCTACTTTGAAGACGGGCTTAAACGAGGAGAAAGGGGGGGACTGGCGTAGATCGTTAGGGGGAAGGCGGTTGGACAACTTCATTTTCTGGGATAGACGCATCAGATCGGATGGGCTAAAATGGGGAAAGGAAGGGCCTGGAGTATTCGCGTGTCCTTTGCAGTCAAAATGGGGGCATGGAGGCGGCGGCGGCGGCGGCGGCGTTCTACAATGTATCTAGACAAGCGATCGTTTTATCTATCTACCTCACTTATGAATTATCCTGTTATACGTTTAGTTGAATGTTAAATTACTAGGAGTTGCCTAGTAGAATAAGACGATACTTTGGATGAGTTCTAGGGGTACTACTCTCCTATGGGGATGTAAGCACACACACACATATACGGACAATCTCGAACGGCACTTGAATAGACACATAGACACTTGAACCACAACAGCAATCCCCTTTTATGGTATTCTTATCCTTCCATCTACTAGCCTACCCATCTCAGTAACCCAGACACCCACCTACCTCCCCCTCCCCCACAAACCCACTACCTACCCCCCTCCCCTCTCCGCCCTCCTCTTCTCCTTAAACTCCTCCACCCACCCCGCCGCCCTAGCCTTCGGCAGCACAAACACCCTAACCACCTCATCCACGACCTCGACCCTGCCCCCCGCCAGCGTCTTCAGCAGCGGCACCTTCTTCCCGACCTTGACCAGCCCCCCCGCCGCCGTCTCCATGTAGCACTCGACGCCCTCGGGCGTGTACTCGCGCCCCTTATCCCACGGCAGCGGAAACACGTACCCCAGATGATCCGCCAGCGCCGCCGTCTCCTCGAACCCCTTGATGAAGTCCGACTCGAGGTGCGCCGGGTACAGCAGCACGGTCGGGAAGCTGAGCGCGCTGCGCGGATCGTCCGGGTCCGGCACCAGCCTGATCCCCGCGTCCTCCATCTCCGGCGGCTGCGCCGTAGTCCGCGTCTTGATCTCGCGGCTCTTGAGCGCCGCCTTGACGAGCATCTCTCTGCGCTTCTCCCTCGCCAGCCGCTCGTTTTCCTTCTTCTGCTTCGCCGTGACTTCCTCGTGCTTCCTGACGATGTCGCGCGCGACTGCCTTCAGGGGCCCGTTGTTCCCGTCGAGCGCTAGGCCGCGCGCGCACGCGTCGTCTGCTTCGGCGATGCGCCCGACGGCTAGGAACGCCCTGGCCGACCGGTAGTACGCCTTGAGGTTCTTGTCGTTGAGGCGCAGGGCCGCGGCGCAATCCAGCCAGCAGCTGCGGTAGTTTTTCAGCTCCAGATGGCAAGCCGCGCGGTTGATGTATAAGGATTCCAGCACTCGTTTTTGCTCCTGGATCTCCTCCTCCTTTACCTCGGGATCGTGCTCGCCCTTAGCACGCTTGCGCTCCTCGGCCGCGAGTATCAGCACGCCTTTCGTGTAGAATTCTTTGGCGTCGGCCCAGCGCTTCTCGCGGAAGCACTCGTTGCCGCGCTCCTTGAACTCGGAACCGTTCTCTAAGGGGGTACCCTCATATGCAAGTGCCTTGAACGCCTCGGTTTGGTCGTTTTCTTCTAGCTCCGTCATGAAAAAGGGCGTCTTCTTCAGGTCCGCGACAATCTCGTCTATGGACTTCTTGTTGACAGGCTCCGGCTCCGGAAATACAGCGGCTGGTATGGGTGCTGAGACATCTTGAGATGGTAATTGCGCAATTTCTTGCTCTTGCGACTGGGATTCGTTCCCCTTAGCCTGAGAGAGCTTGAGGCGCTCTGCAACCTCATCTGAGATTTCTTCAATATGCATTTTGAGTCACTACCTCCTTGCTTCCAATCTCTTATAAGAAATTCTTTTTTTTTTCACCTAAAAAATATTTTCGGATAGAATGATAGCGAAATAGGGCTGCAAATTTCACAAACTTCATAGATTTTTACTTTCGAGTGAGAGGAAGGAAGCCCATGGAATTCACAAGCAAGAATTACGTCGGTATATGCAATTTACAAAAGTTAGTGCCCGTTTGATTGGGTCCCGGCCACAATCCGACGGGCATATATGCAATTAAACAAATAACTCCAGTCACCTCGTCCAGCATACTTTTTTCAGTATAGGACGTAATAAATAGGTAGTAATGTTTAAGATACATAGCTTCTCTATTTTATCATAGCCATATAAATTCGTCTAGTTTTCTCAAGTACGTAAATCAAAGTCACAGAACAGACCCCTATGATGCCCTATCTAGACCTTTTTATGTCTTAGCTACCTAGGTACCCAACCAACCGTCTATGCCACAACACCATTCGCCTCTACCTCTCTTCTCGCCTCGTCTGCCGGTACCTCCGTCTTGTGTCCGTTGGTTTCGGCAAGCGCCTGTTCTATAGCTTTTAGGAATCTAGTGACCTCGTCTTCCGTCCCAACCGTGATCCGTAAGCATCCTAGACACCCGTGCTCCTTACCCCTAAACCGTACCACGACGCCTTTATTCTCCGCCAGCGTCTCATACACCGCTAGCGCGGTCACATTATCCGGCTTGCCCTCCGCGTTCAGCATCTCAAAAAGCAAGAAGTTACTGCTCGTCCCGCCGCGTAGCCGTCCTACGCCCTTAATTTTAGGTAGTTCCTTAAGTAACCTCTCCCTTTGTTGCACAATCTTCTCCCTGTTTGCGCGCATCGTCGCTAAACCTTCGCCCGAAGCGACATATGATGCCAACGCGCTAGTCGGGCTGGAGATGTTGTACGGTGCTTTAATGTTGTTGAGGAGTTGCGCGACCGGCGGCGCTGCGAACGCCGCTCCGAGCCGGATACCTGCCATACCAAACGCCTTTGAGAGCGTCTGCATGACGACTAGGTTGGGCCATTCGGCAACCCATTCCGCCAACGAAGTACCTTCAGGCGCAAAGTCGACGTATGCCTCATCAACGACTACTATACCGTTCCACGTTGGGTGCTCCAAAATCTGCTTTATATCTTCCTTGGCCAGTAGCGAGCCGGTCGGGTTTCCCGGTGAGCACAAGTAGATAAGCTTGATATTCTGCTCCGTTGAGAGCGCCTCTAGTACTTTGGATACGTCAACTCCAAACGTCGGTGCCGGCAAAAGAGGAACTTTGACCAGTCCAACATCGTTGACCTGTGCTGACACGGAGTACATGCCGTACGTTGGGGGGCATACCAAGATGCGGTCCCGACCGGGAACACAAAAGCATCTCAGCAGCGCATCGATAGCCTCATCGCTGCCAACGCCGACAAACAGATTGTCCGGTGTTATGCTTTTGTCCGTGTGGTGGTGAGTGTTCCGCAGATTGCAGAGCAGCTGCTTTAGATCCCGTTGGTGCGGGTCTGGATATCTGTGTAGTCCTAGGAAGTCTATCTTGACCCCAGAGCCCTTGGACACAGCCGACACGGCATCCGCTGTCAAGGACGGTCCAATAGCGTTCTCGTTGGCGTCAAGAAGAATGTTTGTACCATCGTCCTTGTAGTCACTATAATGCGAGTGAGTATTCGTCTATCAATGGATAAGTTTTGGGCGAGTCTTACTCTCGCGCACATCGGTACGGTTCCAAGGCTAGAATATTGGACCTTGCACAGGTCTGAAGATTGAAAGGAGACATGATAAGTCTAGACTATAAAAACAAAAACACTTGGCTTTTTTTTCTTTTTTCTTTTTCTTTTGATAGAAATAAGAAGTCACTTGTACAAATTGACCGACCTATTAATAGTTTCTTATTTCTTATTTCTTAGCTTATTTTCATAGAGGGTAGTTGAGTCACCAATCTTGTCTTAAGGATTTTTGATTTAATTTTTATTTTACTAACTTGCACCTTTAGCACGTTTATGTACATAGTATCGTCCGTCATATTGCAACATTAAATCGGGCTTCCGATCGGAGGGTTACGGCCTCCACATTTAAGTGGGTATTGTGTACCCCCCCTTTTCCACCTTTGAACGCATATTATGGCGTATTTCATAAAAATTACTACCTACCAAGGTATTTATTCAAGATAAATAAAAAGAAATAATAATACATCTAGTCTTGAATATGGAATCTCTTGCAGAACGAAGCAAAGCTTTTCACCAAGTATTTGTGTATCTCTAAATTGATATTAAACCGCCTCTTAATCATCAAGTAGCCGAAGGTAAGGAAACCCAAACGCCAACTACTATGCTTATGCCCCTTCTAGTGTGCCTATCCAAATCATCCCATCATGCAAGGCCTAAAAATATGTCTCCCGTCAAATTCTGACAGGGTAGCGAAGCAAATGCACAAGGATCACCAATTACTTGCCAGCCGGCTTCGGTGGCACCTTGCCTGTGCCCTTGACGTGCTTGATCTCACCGGCCTTGAACGGAGGAAGCGCCTGTTGAGATAAAAGTCCCTGAACCGTCTCCAACGCCGTCAACTGCTGGCCCAGTCCTGTCACCCCATCGAACCCCCCGGTATACCACTTCTGTCCACACACGGTACCGTTCTGCCCTCCAGAACAAGCTTTGCCAGCTGCAACGGCTGAGGTGTTCAGCAGGGTCTGAACTCGGCCTGACGTGGAAGGCATCATTCGTGACGTCGCCCACATGAAGCGCGAAAGGTAACCCTTGAATGATTTCATGTCGTTGTTGCAGAGCTCGTACGGTTCGCAAGCGTGCTCGAACATGATGTTGGTCGCGTTCGGGTAGGGGCTGAAATAAGAGTCTGCTGCTTTCAGGAGGCCGGTTGTGCGAGCTCCCCACGTCTTGTCGCCGTTCGTGTAATTGTAAAGGACAGAGGCTCCATACATGTAAATTCCCTGCGAATACGAGAATGAGAGCTTGTTGATCTCGGCGCAATCGTCCTCGACGCCGGCACCGTCGTAAACGTTGTAATCCTGGTCTATGAATCCAATCTTCTCAGACCAATCCCATACCTTCTTTGCCCAGTCGAAGTACGTGTCATTGCCGGTCGCTCGTGCAAGGCGTGCCGACAATTGGAAGAAGCCGCCGTTAGAAACACTGTTTTTATATTTCATGCCGTTCGGGTTGTCCTCGAAGATTTGCCAAAGAAGCCCGCCTCCGCAGTTAGTCGTATTCCACCTCACGACCATCGTGTTCCAGATGTTTTCTGCGATATCAAGCCAAGGGGGGATACTGTCGTCAGGCTGGGGAAAATTCCGCTCGGCGGCGTTAAGAATAGAGAAAGACCAGAAAGCCTGGTCATCATTTCCTTCGGAGCCAAAGTGCAATGGCACCATAAGCTAAAATAAAAATTAGTAAATCTTTAAAAGGAGTATATGTCAAAGGGGAATCTGCTGACGTCAAATTTGGGTCCGACTTGCGATAGTAAGGCCTGTGTAATGACTTCATCATAGCTGGAATCACCCGTGTAATGGGAATAATCCAACATGGCTCCCCAGGCTGCACCTGCTTCCCACCAGTCTATTTGATTCCGTTAGCAGCAGTTCAAGTAGTAAGATACCAGGAGGTGTATTATAAAGTCTTACAATATGGTTCAGGGAAAACTGCAATGCTCTGAATGGCAATACGTCAGCTCTAACTTAACTAACACAGGATTGGGGATCGTAGTATTCTATACCTCTGGGGTATTCGTCACATTTCCGGAGTAATATGACATGAGCCCATGCGCAAGTGTGCTAGCCACACTGCGTATAGATGCTAGAAAACCAATTAGTACGTACCGTCCAGCATTATATCAAAATATTGTAATTACTTACTTGGGTCTTTGACATCGAGGTCTTTCGGTGCTACGAATGCCGCCGCCAGCGCAGCGGCGGTGTTGACTGATTTCATGAACATGTTTGAGTAGGTTGTTGAAGAAAAGAAGTGTATCGCACAGCGAACTCAATTTGTATAAATATTGGGAAATTGCAGGTGTCGTCTTGTCATCCTTTGTACTTCCAATTATTAAGAGTGAAGGGGAACACTAGGTGTAAGGGAGCGAAGTAATCTTAAGAGCCAAAAGAAGTGAATGAAGGAAGCGATAACGAAGTCGTCTCGTAGGTTGAAAATAATAATAAAACGGCAAAACTTCTGCAAGTATGCGTACAAGATAGAATAATAGGTCGCTTTAAGCGATTGTCTAAATCTACAACAAGACAAGAAAGGAACGATGAGGTAGGAAAATAGAAAGAAAGAACAATCAACGCTGACTGGACAAGAGACACTAAAGAAAGGATAGATAGTAACTTGGAATAAGGAACTTGTCCGTGACAAACCATCACAATATGTAAGTGGGGAGACAATAAGCTTTTATTCAGATCTCGTAGGAATCGTGGGCCAAGAGGCGGTCCACAGCCACACAATGGGCAGCTGTATTACCATGTACAACACGTAGCGTATCGGGTTTATTGGCACTCGCAATACCTAGGAAGTAGGTATGCCCTAGTATTCTCAGCACCCTACGCCGACGTGGCTGTAAGGATTGGTTGGTTGACATGTTCGCTCGGGAGGATTAGAGTCATGTATTTAGTTATACCGACTGTGTACCTACCTATCCTATAACTCTATATCCATCATCTAGAAAAAAGAAAGGCTATCGATCGACACAACAACTTTAAGCCGTACCGTGAAAGAATCTCGATAGGTCTGGTGGCCTATCAAATCTCTATTAGTCGCCGGATGGATTTTCAGGGGTATCGAGGGGTAACAGGGGCCTCCCATGTCGGTGATCTAAAAGAAATGCTACGTAACAAGACAAAGACGATAATTGATTGGCTATTAGTTTAATTCAAGCTTCTTGTCAGGGCCACTGAATACCTGAAACATGAAACGAAGCCTCTGGGCTTCCTATTTCTGTCTTTAGACGCCCGATGTGTCTCTACCGTTTCTGCCGCGCGATTACAGCGAATGTCGCTTATTTGCCCAGTCTCAGCAGGTAGGTACCTACTTGCCAGCTTGCTAATGATTCTACTTGTTTTTGGTGACACTATTTTTATCCTCCCTCATAGTACGTGTACCTAGGTAAGTAGTAAGTAAAGTTGCTGTTGTTATTCATTAGTTATTTGGATCCTATCGCAGCGCAACTCATCGTCAACATGCGGCGAACTACATTGAATAGGTGCGTCCAAATATTTCATACACCCGGGTTTGGTCAAAGCACTGCTATATTCGATCGCAATGATTGCACGTACTGTCAGCCCTATGAGAGGTGCTTGCCCGCTTTGTCAAAGCAATCACTAACGGAAAACCCCCATATCAATATGCAAACAAGATTGTCGTCACCCGTCTCTGCCACGTTTTCGCCATTCCTACTGTAGCAAGAGGAGATGATACTATTCGAATGTAACACGGCGACAATATATCCTATATAACTAGTAACATATCAAAACTGTCGAGTCCAGCGCATAGTGTCGTACGATAGTCATCATTGTTAATGGCTATAATCTCATGTGTGTACCGTTGCGGAATGCTATTCTGACTCGGACAGCATATAAATTGTACGTGGGATAGTTGTGCAGATCAGACACAGTAATCGTCGTGTCCCGTAATCATGTAAAAGCGATTACGCATAGTATCTCGCTTCAATCTTGAGAGTGCAAAGGAAAAAAATATAAATCTAGGTGTTCATGTATACCTCTCGAGTAGAACCAAAGGATAATTCAAAAGTTGATATAAGGACTAGCAAAAAGAGAAGAAATCGAAAAAAAGAAAAAGATATGGTACAGGAGGAATTTAACCTCCAATGTTGGACTCGCGGGGAATCGAACCCCGGACCACTCCCATGCTAAGGGAGTATTATACCACTAAACCACAAGCCCCATCCACAGGTCTTAAGCCTGTGATGCTGTGACAATTTGTTTGAATTTTGCATTTATAAAATCTGTGCGTGCTGGTGGGAGTGTGGTGGGGGTGTGGTGGGGTCGCGTTCAACAACCCCACGTTCTTTTAACTCAATGTACTAGGATATGCAATAAGGAATGTTGTGGATATAAAGATAAACAAAAAGTTTGAGGTTGATTACAGCTTTTTCCCACGAATTCTTATACTACAGCTATACATATCGAGGGAATGAATATACCTCCTATGGACATGCTATCTATTAAATGTAGGGATCATATATAGCTTTTTAGGAGTATAGTAAGGTATTCCACCGGAACCTTTAAGTGTATGTATATACAGTCTTGGGTATATTTTGAGTGACGCTCGTGATGGAATACTATATCACTGATACAAACAGGCAAATTTGAGTATTATACGAATATTAGATATAGCATGCTAAGGCTTCTTAACACTTTCAGACACTACATTCATACGTAAGTAAAGTAATTTTATATAATCAATAGTTAACCGCCAAGCAGTTAAATTGTTCAACTCAATATAGTCGGAAACTAGACACACTGCCATCACCCATAAATACGGGCAAAAGCTCTATTTCTAAGAGTATATTGTTAATAATGAAGCCTGTGCTATATTCCCTCTTGAAGGAATACATATAGGTATATAAAATTTTATTGTCTAAAGATATCGCACCTCTAAGAGTTCATAGTTACGACTGCATACTCAACGAAGAGAAAATTATACCTGCTCCCACGAGCCAATGAAACTTCACGATTTATCTTCTCACTCGTCTTCGCTTGCTCTGAACCCCAGCAGACATGGACCTTACTTGATCCTAATTGATCAGCCAAGCCCCTCTCGCAATGAATGCTGATGCTTCCATCGGAGTTTTTACGACTGTCTCCAAAGGTGATTTAAAATGTTACCTCTGCGATAGTGCTCTCAAGCAAGAGTGTACGAACCAGTTCCCGGCCAAGCTCACACCCTCATGCGCTTCCAAGTCATGATTACTAAGTTTGAGCTTGGTATGTGTATTCGTGCTACACAACCTCTGTCTGCGATTAAGAACCCGGTTAGGTAGCCTCGGTGATATCGTCGTGGCTCTTTGAAGGAGCAATAATATAAATACCGACACCTACCAATCCAACGTAAGGGGTTCTAATCGAGAGGATTATGGGTGTATAGACTCATCAGTTACGTTGACGTGTGGTTAACGTGTGGTGAAATTTGGGGGTCCGGTGTGCTTATAATGTCATCCAAATACGCGAGACCGAAGATCTTTAATCGACATTAAGGTTGAACTCTGCTCGATTATCAAGTCCCATTTAAGCTTGGATCATGGTGAGAACACTTTCTTCGTTACTTGACGCGCTCAACTATTATATGCAACGTGGTACGAAGAATTAAGAAATATCTACTATTTGATTAAAGATGGGAAGCAATAGAGTATGTATATAGTTTGGTGACAGCTAATTTTCACGCCAAAGGCTACGTTAGTTAAGTCAAGTGTGATACTACCTAAAGCGAACGTAGGTTCCGCTAGTAATGTGACGGGAGTCTGACCGCACGTCAAAGAACGGCAAGTCCGCGGCTAACTATAAAATTTCGCTACGGACGACTCGTATCTACACGGCTAAAGCCGGTGACGTCTGCGATCTAGTCAAAGCGCCGCAAAATAAGCCTATTCCCGGAGTTCCGATCGATTTAACGACGAGCTAGGAAAGTTATACTCCTGTATCAACTACTCATGTCAATAGGGCTGAAGGCTAGATCGGGCCTCATAGTACCGATTACATGAAATAGAAGCTCTACGCATATTATCGGGCTCGATTGTCCGGACTTGGTATGCTTGAAGCGCGTCGGTAGCTGATGCAATAGAATTAATCTTCACTGTTTACTCTATTGTTAACCACCAGCTTGCGTGGTTGTGTTTCGCTGCTTAATCTGGCTACTATCCGATGACCTTGTATTGTGATGCTGATGCTGATAGTGATCCAATGGCCCTCACCAGTGTCTATTCTAATCATATGATCCAAACCCGAATCTCTGGATATGACAACTTTACATGGGATTGCCTAGGATAGAGGTGTGTAGAGCTAGTCACCTTGGTAGTTTAGTCGTCAAAAATATATCTCCCAAGTATTAGCCACCTTCTATTTCGCCCACTACGCCAGATGACGACGTTACCCACCATGGCGAAGTCTGAAAACAACGACTATGGAACTGCGTTGGGGCAGCTGCTTCGCGGCGTATACGGAAAGAGTCCGTTAGTACAGCTCCAATATCGTATAAGAAAGAGGTTAGGCAGGAGGAAACCATTGCTCTCCCATCAGCAATATCATCCTGCACTCAAAATCTTAGGTAGACATCCAGTACTCGCACCAAGATATTACTTCTCAGCTCCAAAATGAACTTCCTCGCAGTCCTAACCTTCATCACGGCAGCCCTTGCTTACGGGGTCGATCCCGAAGACAACGAGTCATGCACGCTTCCAGCCTACATCTGCAAGCACGACTTTAAGGGCTGGCTCGTCTGCAATGTTGACGGCAAATTCCTCGTAAGCAACCCTACAAGTTCTTTTCTTTTCTCACCTTTTTCTTCTTCTTGGCTGACGATTCCGTGTAGGATGGTGGAGACTGCGCGGAGGGCACTACATGCCAGTACATCAACGATCTGCCGTACTGCGTTTAATATCGAGGTGCAGCAGCATGAAGCCGGAGGCTCTAGGGGCTATCAGGCAAATATGGCTATACTATAGATTGACGATTTGGGTTATTTACATGGCCTGGACTGGCACGATATGCGGTTGAAAAGACTAAAGGACCAACACAAGGGGAAGCATACTAATTAATTATCAATACTGTCACTCCTTCAAGTTAGCCGAGACTAGCAAGTTGTAATTTATACGCTCCTTGAATGCTATACAAACTCGATCACGCATTACGCCGTAGAGTCAAAGTTGAATGGCTATTTACCTAACTTAATATATTCCTAGTATATAAGAGGTATTTTAATCAACTAAAGTAATATCCAATCTTCAATTTGGACGTTCTTGGCTTGGCTTCTTCTCTTTATCTTCTACTTTGTCTTTCTTATGCCAGCGCTCCAGGATTATGGCCAGATTCTTGCTACCAACAACTACACACCATTCGCCGCCGGTGCTCCAAGCGACCTGGCGTCCAACGAAGTCCTTAACAGTAACGTTGCTCTGCGAGTGTGCTCTGATGGGTTCCTCGACACGTGTCATGTCGTACTTTAATTCCCACTGCTCTAGCGTCTCTTGCGAATAATTGGTATTGACATCAAGGTGCGTCTCGACGTCCACGCTACCTGTGCGTCCTGACGCGACCGACTCTCTGTCGCTAGCGGCATCCCTAAGCTTACTAACGGCATCGCCCTTGTGTCTATGCTGAATGGGCGCTAACCACCCCGGACGTTGGATTGGCTGAGTCTTATCACGAGTGGGATCCCGAACTTCACTAATGAAGTCGTGATAACTTCCCAGGCGTGCTAGGTCCCAGAAGAAAATCATGGCCTTTGCATTGCCAAATGCTAGGACCGGATGCTTGTCTTTATCGTGAAAGAGCTTGAAGCGAAGGTAGAATTGGTGACCACAATGAGGTGTCCAGAACTCTAATAGGCGAGTATACTGAGGTGGACATGCCGATGCCGTCGCAGGGGAAAAGGCAGAACGGGTTAGGCGTTCTGTGTCGCTCGTAGTAGGCGCCTCGGAAATTTCAGGGGGGGCATCGCGAGAGGAGAATCCCTCAATTCGCCATAGTACAATTATGTCCTCGTGGCAGGCCCGTGAGAGAATGAGGTCACCAAAGAAAGCCACGCTTAATTTTGTTAGAGTTTTCTTGATAGTTTTATAAGCCGACTTACCAGTCTACAATACCACTATGCACTTCTGAAGTGAAGAAATGAGGGTAGTGTATTACAATTGGCTGCGAAGGGTTTTTACCACTGGGCTCAGGAGGCAAGTTAGGGAGCGTCCACTATAGTATGTTAATAAGAGGCACACATGCATTACCGAGATCTGATGAAATTTCTTACTAGACAGATAACATTGTCATGCCCAGCGGAGAGAACATAACGACCACTGTTGTGAAATGCCTAAAAGGGATTAACATTTAAGGGGACCACTACGGCGTTTGGAGACGTACCACCGTCAATAGTCCTGATGAGTGACCTTCGCCAGCAAGCAGGCAAACGCATGGTTGCTTAGAGTGCGCGGGATCGAGACTCCATATTCGAACGGTAGTGTCTTCCGACGCGGATGCAATCAGGAGGAAATTTGTTGGACATGTGGCAAGGTCATTGATTTCCTCCACGTCTTGTTAGTCTAGTACCCTAGCCAACTTGCTTTCAAACTCACTCCTCCATGGCCTACAAGGACCTATAAGATATTAGCCGGGGAATACTTACGATCGTGTATAAACGTATATCTGACCTTTACTAGCTTACCCTGAACAACGTCGTAGACCTTGATTTTGGCGTCCCTACCAGCTACGCATAGGTACGGTACTTCGGTTTCGGGATCCTTAGTCCAAGTGCAGCTACAGTTTAATGCATCTTTCTACATTTCTATAAGCTACAATGACGGCAACATAAGTTGTAGCGAAACTCACATCGTCGTCCCTGAAGAGCTGAACAAGCTCATAAGGAGGTGTAATCTTGCTGGAGAGTCGATATATTACGACATGTTTCTTGCTAACTGCGGCAAAAACTGGATCGTGTGTGACGTCCCCGTATGGGTAGAATTTCACGTCAAAGAATTCTGGTAGGAGTTAGAGCATCCTCTGGAGCGTCGAAGAGATGCCTTACCTGTGTCTTGGTCATCTGATGCCAAGCTCTGGGAATCGTCCTATGAGGTAAGAATTAGTCTATACCCCGGGCCGAGTCCGAGACATATCGGCTTGGAGAAGCCTTACCTCGAAACCAATGGATGCCTTCACGCGTGGGAGGTCCCACTCGTCATTTCTAGTCGCGGATGGCATCTCGAAAGAGTGTCTTGCATAATTATCTTTCAAGTTGATAGGCTCGGTCTAAGGAGCGGGGCAGATTGTTATGAGAATGGTGAGAAGTCAGGACCGAATGATTGAAAGTGAAGCTGGGACTGAACCATTCAGGGGTCGTTCCTCGGTATGTAAGATGCGGCTAGATGTTGGCTGAGTGTGGGTGTGGATACGCGAATTTCGTGAGAGCTGAACGTGTTTAGTTTGGATTTACCTATGATGCTGGCTGAATTCGTGATTGTTGATCGTTTGATGGCGGATCGTGAAACCTCGATGCTCTACTACCTTGACATTGTTCGGAGAGATCGGATTACCAATAATTAAAACCCGAATAGCTTCTCAAGCTAGTATGGATTAAGGTACGCTATGGTACCTTATTTTGTTCAGTAATCAATTATTCCACGCTGCCACGACGAAGAGGTGCATTGAGGGTCTTCGCCGTAACTAAGCCGCAAACTAAGTCAACGCTAGACAAGGTTGTGGCTGGAGCTTGCCTTGTCGTTTTGGCCTACCCTTGTTATAGGAGGGTAAGTACATGTAGCTTCGAATTAAGGAAGTCTCTACTATGTACATAAGGTAAGTGCACACACATTAGAGAAGTACCTAGAGTATGTAAACCTTGCACAGACCTCCACGATTTTTGGAACTTTTGAAATTCTTTCTGGATGTCGTTTCGAACAAGCCCCATCGATACGGCCGTTTGACTGCTTGGTATGCTGGGTATGCTGGGGTACCTCCCAGGTTTATTCGTCTCCAACCTGGAGTACCCAATTCTAGTCCAATTGCAGTTCGCCCTAAGCTCTTCAGCCGCTAGCTTTGCGAATGACGCCTGGACGCCCAAGAAACTGGATAAGGAATCCTAGACTTCCGCCCAACTTAGTGGCCTGTACATACACTAGTATTGAAGGGGACCCTGGCAGGGCAAATACGCTCATTGACACACACCCATGAACGAAAAACGAAGAGTTGCATGCGCGACTGTATTCACATGCAATAGGTTGTAAATGCTGTAATTGCGCAGCCTATGAATCTTCAGATGATGTATGTAGTGCATAAAAATCGCTTCACTCGAATGCAAGCTATTCTATTTCGTTGTTTCGTTGGGAGCAATGACGACGTCGTGCCATGCAAATAGTATGCACGTACTTCGTAGGTATTCAGGTAAAAGCATGGTCACAAGAGACGTAATACGTAGTGCCACGGTAGAGCTTCCTCTTGGATTTTTGCCTTCGCTTACATAGTATTTACGACTCGACTCGCAGTTTGCGTTGATAGGCACGGCTGATGCTGATGCTGATGCTGATGATAATACCGTTACTGGATTTTTCCGCCTTGGCAGCGCCCTTGTAGAATATCCCCATACTAAACTTATATCCCGGCAAGCGTGGAAAGCAGATATGTTTTAAAATATGTAAAATATGTTTTAGACTGGTTCTACGTGCGGATATGATTAAGCAAGCCATCAGGACTGATGCAGGTACGTGATAATTCTATAGCATCTATCTATAGCATGTATAACGCCACCAAGGGATGAACTATGACCACATTGCCCATCAGCCCATTAGGGAAAATGTCCTGGCTGGCTGTATGGCCCAATCAGTGCTCGCCGATGAGCAAGACTGTTCAAGGTAACTCATAATCACAGTATATCGAATCCAGTAAACAGGGGTATTATATATTAAGAGGCTTTAAAAGACTTCAGGTCTTTACTATCACGAGGAAATCGGTAACCTGGGCGTGTTCTTGATTATTACCCCTGGGCCATACACCATTCTTTAATATTCAAAACTTATGACTTCGTCAATTAGAGACTTTTCCCGCACTTCCGTAGTAAGCAATCCTGTCTATTCGCGAGCCATGAAACTTGAGTCCCTATTATGTAAATAGGATCGTGGTAAGGTCACCTTCTCCATCAGTATGTGTAAACCACCACTAAAGAATTTGTCTCGCGATGGAGTCCGATAACAACCTGGTAACCGAAGACAGGCATAAAATACGTAGAGTAACTACATATGTATAACTACCTAGTCATACTGTAACTACTATAGTAAGACTTCAAGAATCTTCGACAACTCTCAGCAACGTCACCACGTGCAATACCGATAAGTTACCGAGTAAGAAAATCTCGAAGCCATCTTCAATCCCAGGTTAAGATAAATCCTGGCAGCAGATCCCAAGGATTTGGTCTACCAATTCGGGATCGTTTAAAGTCCCTTTATAAACTTGATAACCAAACAAAACTACAAATGGTTATCAATTCCGCTAGATCCTTGCAGCGAGCCTCTATCTCCCAAGCAATTCCCGAATTGTACTGAAGATCTTTACTTACTCTGATATCATTTCGAGTCTTCGAGAGAAATCGAAGGTTTAAACGAATAGCTGATAAAATAAAATAAGGAAAGGTCTAGAGTGTAAAGTGAAAAACTTATACATATACATAGTATATTTACACCTATAATAGGAATAAAAATAGCCGGCTGTCTCCTATTAATCAGATGTTTATCATGAACTGAATTTATGACGTGTGAGTGAGATTTAGCTGCAAGTTCCGTCGCGCGGAATGAATGCCGACTAGGCCCCGAATTGGCCTGAAAATTCAATGCTATGTACATGCATAATGTACCTACATATCAAGGCCTAGGCACATAGTGCTTTCCTAACTTCCTGTCAGCA